CTGACATTTCTTCAAATACAAATGGCCAACAAGCACCTGAAAAGTTGCTGCACATCATTAATCATCAGGGAAATGCATATCAAAACCACAATGAGATATTACCTCACTAGTTAGAATGGCCACTATTCAAAAGACAAGAAATAACAAATGTTGGCGAGGATGCAGAGAAATGGGAATCCTCTTACACTGTTGGGGGGAATGTGAAGTGGTGCAAACACTGGAAAGCATGGAGGTTCCTCAGAAAACTAAAATGTAGAAAATTTTCACATTGGAGGACTCCATTTGATCCAGTAATCCCACTTCTAGGATTTACCCAAAGAAAACAAAATCCCTGATTAGAAAGATGCTCCCCTGTTTATTGCTGCACTATTTGCAATAACCAAGATATGGAAGCAACCTAAGTGTTCATCAATAGATGAATGGATAAAGAAGATGTGGTACACTTGCACAATGAAATATTATTCAGCCATAAAAAGAAATATTGCCATTTGCAACAACATGGATGAATCTACAGTGTAACAAGCCAGGTGGAGAAAAAAAAATACCATATGATTTCACTTATTTGTTGCATATAAAAACAAAGCAAAATGGAACAAAATAGCATTAGACTCATGAACACTGAGAAGGGACTAGTGGTTATTAATAGGAAGGGCTTGGGGTTGGGGGGGACAATGAAGGGGATAAAGGGGCACAGTAATTCGCAATCACAATATAAGCTGGTCACGGGGACAGTAGTATAGCATGGAAAATACAGTCAGTGATCTGTAACATCTTTCTATGTTGATAGATAGTAACTGCCTAGAGGGTGTGAGGATTTGCTAATGTGGGTACTGTTGAACCACTGTGTTGTACATTTGAAACCAACATAAGATTGTATATCAATGATACTTCAATAAAAAGAAAAAAGAGAGATGCTTTTAGCATTGATAGGAGCCATTGGCAAGCTCCACCTGCTGCCTTATTTCAGGGAGTAGGGTCTCCCTAAGATGAGGAGGAGCTTGTTGTGATAAGAAAGAAGAGAAGGTCCTGGTGTTTTCAGAAAAGGTGTAAATTCTCCCCTGTAGATTAGATCAAGGGGAGTTCTCCCATTAGAAGTGACATGAAAGCTATCGCTGAGGCTTTCCAACCCAGCTTTTTGGTAAAATGGATTAAACTGAGAGCAGAACCCTGTGAAGGGTGCAGCATATGCTGGCTTCTGACTAGAACTCTGCATGGGGATGCTAACCCAGGCTCTGATGCAGACAGGAGCTGCTTGCTTGCTGACTAACGCAGGCAAGGGTTTACATGGCCATCTGGAATTCCCTTTACTTGTGCAGTGAGGAACCAGGATGTGCAACAGAATAGGTGCTATGGGAGGTGTCCACCCCACTGTGGGCCGACTCTATTGATCTGTATTAATAACAGCCTCTCCCACAGATCAGTTAATCCAGGTTTTGATGGTCTATTTTCTTCCAAAAGTAATGGAGTATTTACTCCTGCATTATGTGTAGCATGGAGAAAATTCGTTCAGATGTCAGCTTTGTTTGGTCTTCCAACAGCAGCTGGATGCTTGGCAGGGTGCATGATCACATGGTCTTCAGATCTTCTAAAAGCTAATATTCCTAGGCATAATCCCAGGGGAGTTGGACACAATCTATGGTAATTACAGATTCAGATCCCATTGGTGTTGAACTTCCTAAGAAATTTAAGTAAGAATTAAAATACACACACCCCTCAGATGAAGGCAGATGCTAAACCAGATTAGCCTTTCATGGTCACCTCTTTAGGGTTCGGAGAAAAAAGCAAGCCAAAGAGCAGATTCAGAAATAATCTCCCACAGTGTCACAAGAGGCCAGTGCGCTTGAGGGTGAGGGTCAACAGCAAGTGCCAGCTAGGTACCGGCTTGAGGTCCCAGCAGGAGTGGTGCAACTGCCGAGAGCTCCTTGTTAAAAGTGGGTCTTCCTGACCTTCGTGCCTGGGTGTTCTGGGGAGCTCAGATGTTTGTGCAGCAGGCCTGAGGACTCTCAAGTTCAAGTCCTGGCAGACTGCTTGGAGAGGAGACCCAGAGTTCTGAGTTTCTGAGCTAACGGCAGGCAGGGCCTCACTGTATGAGAAAGTAAGATCATCGAGCCCGGAGCTTGCCCTGCGGCTGGCCTGAGCAGTGGCAGCTACATCCCCCATGCCCAGCACCTGGGTGGTGGGGAGGAGGACCCCAGGTGCTTTCCCAGGCTCAGTCTTGCCCCCAGTTCGATGAAATTTAGTATGCTAATTAGGAGCATGCCAAAACTGGAGCAACTCTCTTCCCTAGGGTATGCTTTGTTTTCAGTTGTTTAAAAATACACTGAGAGAGAAATTGCAGGATACCAAGTGACCTAGAAATCAGTTCAAAGGTTATTCTATTCCTTCATTCCTCAGAACTCAGGCATTCCCACATTGGTCTCAGCTGCAGTCTCACTTAATGTTTTTCACATGTCTGAGCGGATCTGGACTCCCCAAACATAGAGGAGTTTGCCCTGTTCCCTGAGGGAAGGAATTTAGCAAGCACAGATCTTTCTGAGAAAGCTGCACACTGGCTTTGATGCAATTTGCTTGAGATTATTAATAGTCACAATTTTATTTCCATCCCCTAGAGAATGGACCAGTGCTCCCATAAAATCTTGTTTACTCTGTTAATGTGGATTTGTGCTACAAGCTGGAGGTGTGCTCTCACTTACACAAACCAGGGATCAGAGGGTGAGGAGGGTGACGGCAGGGAAATATTGTTCCTTTTTGGCCTGGTACAGTTCAATAGGTCTTGTTGGACTTCAGCAAAGAACACTTGTCTCAATCGTGGTAATACCCCACTACCATCACTTACTGAAGATTCATTGTGTGCTCACTCTGTGTTTATCCAAGTGAATTCCCATAATCTATAAGGCAGGTACTATGATGATTCACATTTTTCAGGTAAAGAAATTGAGACCAGGAGAGTAAGTAATGCCTGTAGACTGTACAGTGAGGCCGTCTGGCTGCTGCTGACCTTAAGCTTCAAGCAGCATTTGATCTCAGTTGGTGTCATCAAATGTGCTGGTCTGTTAATTTAGGATTTGTAGTTAGTTGGACCTGCTCATTTCCACAAATACCCAGGACACTGCATCCTCTACTTAAAGCCAGGTCTATGGAGCAGCAGCATGGCAGCACCTGGAAGTTGTCAGAAAGGCAGAACGTCAGTCCCCTTCCTGCCACGCCCCACACACTGTACCTAGACCCCTAGACATTCTCAGGCACGTTCAAGTTTGAGAAGCACTGCTCTTTGCTACCAGATGGTATTTTTTACATTCCTCTCTCCTTCCCCCCTGTACCCCTGCACCCCTTTATCTAATCTTGTCTGGTAATTTTAAATTCTTTAAAAATAACAGTTACACACAAATCACAAGGTCTCAAAATACCTTACCAAGAAGTACTCAGCTGTAGAATCAGAAGCATGACAAGGATTTCTGAGCATCTCTGAATTGCTTTTGAGAAATTACAAATTCAAACATCTAAAAGACATGGGCTTCAAAATTCAGTTAGTTATTATAAATAAACAGAAAAAAATCACACACACACAGGCCCTGCTGAGATACGGAGGTCCAGCAGGCCTCGGAGACTGGGTTCTTGCCGCGCTTTGCCCTGGGCTGTGTACCCCTGGCGGATGCCACCCATCACGTAGCCACCCTGTGGTATAAGCCTTGCTGATGATGGAGAAGAAACGTGCGAAGCAGGCTGTCAGAGACCCGGGCTCCTGCCCAGCCCCATCTGCCTGCCTGCCTGCCGGGTTCTAAAAAATCCGTTTGGGAATTATGACTTTACCGAATACGACATTCCACTGTACCTATTAGCCTTGATAAGCTGACCCAGCTTGGTGAGAAGTCTGATATATTTTGTCTTACAAGATACAGGGTCCATTTCTAGACGAGGTAACATAGGCCGTTGAAAGGGTGGAAGGAGACTGCCGCCCCCGCCCAGCCTGCCGCCTGCCCACGTCCCGGGGTGCCCAGTCCGGCAGGCCGTCCCACGGCGCTGCGCCCCCTGCAGGATTAGGAGCGACGCCGTCCGTGGCGGGGTGGGGGCTTCAGAGCACAGCGACTCTCAAACGGGCTGTGGGCCTGGTGCTCTCGGGCTAGCATCGCTTTCTGGTCCCTCTTAGGGGCAATATCAAAATGTGATTTAAGAAAAACGGAAGGGCAGTTCATGCTGCCTGCCACTTCTGCCTACATTTTATTGCTTTGGACCCCGTGTTTCGGAAGTTAAATTATTCAGAGTGAGCCTCAGTTTGAGCAGAATGGCCTGAAGTGGCCCCTTGATAGCAGTACTGGGACTTTGTACACTGACAGCCCACAGTTTGAATCCTCGTGTCAGTATTAGGACAAGGTCTTTACTCCAAGTCCTTTAAAAAAAATTTCAGGTTTAATATATTTTTAATATTTCCTTTTGTCACTTAGAGCATATGCAACACGTGCAGTTTAAAGAACACCTGCAAGTCTCCTCCCCCAGCCAGCCCAGATGTGGGGGCCCGCTGTACCCCATCTGGAGGCCGTCGGGCTCTGTGAGTAGGGCCTGGCCCAGAGCTTACCTCCCACAGCTCAAGGTGACTTTTTTCCTAGGGCACGCTCTTCTGTTGGTCTTGTTAGTTTTAGCGTAGTACATGGCTAATGTATTTTCTATGGTAACTTCACAGACTTTGGAAATGTACTTAAACAACTTTTTTTGCTTAATGCCTTTGTTTCTGTATCCCTTCAGCCCCTTCCATGAATTGTTTTAAAGTCAGCTGAGTATCGAGCACAAACCCATTTTTCTACCTGCAACAATGGGCCTGCCTAACTGTACCCAGTTTGCTTCACCTTTGAGGGCCCTCCCTGGGTACAGAACAACAAACACTTAACCCTCCTGCGGCTTCTGAGGAGCCCAAGGAAGCAGCCTGACTCCTTCCTGACAGGAAAGGTCAGACCCCACAGGCAGTTCTGTCACCTGTGCCTGATGCTGTCAAACATTTCAGGACATTCAGTTAAAAATATTTTATTTATGTTTATACAAAATACAGTCATGTACAAAAATGTACATAACATTTTCATTCAGTTTACATTTTAGAAAAGGACAATTCCAAATACTTTCTACTTACATGCCATGTAAACATTGTTCTGGGCCCATATTTTTTACTAAAATTGTATCCACCCTTGGAGATTTTCATGACTGCTTTCTTTCAGATGGAGAATTTGGTTTGACAAACTGGTTTCCCAAGCCATGCACACAACCACAACTGGCTGGATTCTAGGCAGAATGAGAGACCTGGCTGCAGCTGTACAGCAATACGATGTTGTAGATGTACAGATTACATTTTGCATACACATCTGCATGACTCTGTAACCTATTTCGGCCTGTCCAAGCACATCTACCATGAAAGACTGTGGTGGAGAAACACAGATGCCCACAGGGGCACAATCTCTCCTCGAGAGCGGCCAGTGCCGTACCTGACATACAGATCACTCTAGCTTGAAGCCTGTCACATTGGCCACTATGGAAAGCAGTGCCAATCTGCCCAATTAGAAATATATAAAAGTCTGAATTACAGTTAGCCAGTTATTTTTGATGAAATGTACTCTTTAGTACATTTTGAAGGGCAAGTGGGGGGAAAAAAAAGGAATAAAAGCAAAGTATATTCTGGGTTCTGCCAAACAGGGGCTTCAGAAGAGACAGCACTTAACATTTTAGTTTCGTTTTGTCCCTGCCCACTGATGTAACCTAGTGGAGACTGAAAAAGAACATCAAGGTGACGTATTTGGTGCAGAAACCAGCTCTCCCCATCTAGGGGAAGAAAACCTAGGAAGCAGTGGCAGGAAGATCCCTCTTAAAAGCAAAATAGAATTTAGACTATAACCAACTTTTCACAAAGCAGTTAATAGTTTGTGGCATTCAACTGTAAGTATATTGTCAGTAGTAGTAAGTAGTTAACATTATCAAAAACAGCATCTTCATTATCAGATTAAGAATCTCTTAAAAAGTTACTAAAGTTTAAAATTTGATTTTTCTCATAAATCTGTGATCAGTTCTGTATAGTGGGTCCAATTATGTTTATTGAGAACTGGGCAGCCCCCAAAAGAACCAACCAAATCGGCTCATGGTCGCCTCTTTAATAAACCTAAATACTCTCCTTGTAAGGCATTCCAAGCCCAACCACATTAACAACAGCTCCACCCTCAGGGGCTCCAAGCCTGCTGGCCTCAGGACTCCACGGTGCAATATTTAGGACACAAGCAGAGCCCTGAGACATTTGTCCAGGGCCAGGAATGCCGCACCTGGGGGCAGGCACACCCTGCGGCGGCTTCCCCTGCCGCCTGGCAAACACTGCCTTAGACCTAGCCAGTGCAGCGGTGACATGGCGCTCTGAGGGCAGGCACCCCGGACCCTTGGCAATGAACAATGGCCTTCTGACTTCAAACTGGCAACCAAAGAGAAAAGATCTAATTATTAGCTCATGATGCAGTAGAGCTGGCAATTAAAAAAGAATTAGTTCTTCAGTTTGAAATTTGATTTGGTCTTTCATGGAAATATTCCCTATATTTGGGAGATCGCGTTGATTGTGCAAACTTTCTTCTACCAGCACACGACTACCTTCAACAGTCTTCAAAGACTTCTAAGCAGGCCCTTACCCTAAACTTTGCATGTATGTCTAAAAAGTGAAATGCGAACTAAATGACTCGAAGATGAAATAGTTTTGCTACCATATCTAATATAAACATCTACTTCAAGGTTTACTCTAGACCAAACCCCAAAAAAGCAAATGCTCCTGAAAATTATGAGCCTCTGCTCTCCCTCATTCTTAAAATCATACCTCAAGTGAATTAATTTGTGTTTTACCTTGATCATTGTTATTCAGTAACCCCTGACATTTACTTTGTTGGCGTGTGCTAATAAATACACACGTTCCCAAAAGGGCGAAGGAAAAACCCCAGTCCAGAGTTCGCGGTGTGAAGCCTATTAAGACACTGCCTCTAGGGGCTTGAGACCCTGGGCTGCAGAAATGGTTGCCATGGAAACAAATTTGCCTCAGCATTTCTCGTGGAGCCAGAAGCTGCTGACTAACAGGTCCTCAGACAGGTTCTGGTGTAGACAGGGCTTTTCTCCCTTTAATCTGGATGGCATTCTAGGAAGTATATAGATTACTAGAGACTACCAAGGAAAACACGACATTCCATACACAATTTATGTTACTATAACTTGGTGTTTTCTTTTATTGGATCATACAAATTTGAATGGGGATTCCTTAATAATTATCTTTTATTAACTTACCTTTGGCAGAAACAACAGATTTCAAAACATTTAGTAGCTTCTTATTTATTTAGCTTTTTTTTTCTTTTTGAATTCTGTAGCATAGTATTTTCAAAACAATACTATTAAACATGTGATTTAGAAGTTAACTGGTAATGATTTGATTCATATTATAGGTTATTTAAGAGAATAACTACTTAAAAGGACAGACTAGATGTGTATTTCTTTAAAAAATACAATTTTTGGTCATGTGAATGATTCATGTTCAGATTTCAAAAATAGAAAACATCCTAAAGTGCATAATTTTATTTATAATATAGCTCCTTGAAATGATAACGATCTGCAGTGTAAACAGTAGAACAAAGAATACCAAACTATACTCTCATGTACATTTACATTTGTAGGATTATGTACCATCTTTAAGTGTGTGGATTATACCAGGGCACTTCCAACACATAGCTCATGCTTCTATTATTTTTAAAAGCAAACTTAAAAGTATTCTTTTTTTCCAAATTCCAACTTAAACCACTTTCAACTGACAAGAGAGCTGCTACCTCGCTTCAGGAATGGGAAATGCTGTTACAGATCCTACCCAACCAGAATCCAGTTTTGAAACTGACAACTAGTCAGTAGAGTTTTACATTCTTACACTTCTAATTAAAAAATAAACCCAAAATGGTACCTTTAAGAAGGCAACTCTCAGAACCTATAGGAGGGCATCTCGTCTGCTTATCCTGCAGCACTATCTTCAAAAGGCGGGGCCTGCTGAAACGCCTTCTCTTGGCAACCAAAGTGGCTGGTGTGCAGACACGTACCCTCGACCTCACAAAGCACAGAGGCGGCCTGGGGTGGACAGGCAGAACCAGATCTGCTTTCCTCAGTGGAGACAGATTAAAGAGTACCAATCAACCCAAAGTGACGCCAGCACAGTGATGAGATGACTGAGTGGCATCTTCCATGCCCTGGCCCCTCCCAGATGTCTACTACAGACAGCTCTGTGACACAGTCTTGGGATAAAACTGTAATCATAATTGGTCACAAATCATTATTTTTTTCTTTTTATACATGATCTTGAAAATAGTGTGACTTAGATTCTGCCTCGGGCTGAGCTTTGAGGGCTACATTTACCCCCTCAGTTAGGGGGGGTTTTAGTGCAGGTTAGTTTAAAAAAACTCTGCTAAGTACTCAGGAGGCTTAGAACACAGGCTCTTTTTCTCTCTTTCATGATCCTGTACACTTAAGCTGAGAATTAAGCAAGACACTTTTTGTTTGGCTAGAGCCAAAACGGAACCAAGCCCCACACAGGTGCTGTGGCGTATGGGCCTTGTTCAGTGTTTGATGCTAAAATTGGAAACGGTAGTGTAGTCAAGTGCTCAGGAAAGAATTTTCCAGGCTCTTCACCCTGTGGCTGATTTAAAAATCAGCATTAACAGAGCTACTGCTCTATTCCTTCTGTCTTCAACAGGGGATCCAGTCCTAGGCAGAGAGTAGATCTGTCAGCTGAGGGAGTCTTGAAGAAGCACACCGTCAGATAGATGATTGCTTTGTCATTTAGGCCAGATGCCACCTCCATCTACCTGAGAACATAGGGAACAATTCATACAAGTGGGGAATGGTGCGGCCCCGTGGGAAGGTCACAAGAGTGGTGGAGGCAGCAAATAGGGCTCCAGTGCAGGTTCCCCCTGACTAGGTCCGAAGAGAACAGGGGTCTGCGCGGCAAGTTTGTCCTACAGTGATGTCCTGAGCTTGTTTTTAATCACAGTTAGGCAGAGAATGGTCTCATGTTTCTCAGTTATCCAGGGCAGAACAGTGTATATTCTCTGTAGATGAGTGTGTCTCAATGTAGTGATTCATCTCTTCTAGTATTAGAAAGCTTCCACTATGGTGCCTGTGTGTGCCTGCAGGAATCGACTTTCCCTTCCAAAATGCCTGCATTAGGGCAATGTGCCTTCTTCTGTCTAGGCACTATCTAAGGCAGGCCGTGCAAACTGGAGCCCTCCCAATGGCCTGGAGGCAGAAGAGGCTATATGCTCTGTAGGTCCAGCTCCAAGGCTGCCTCCCAGTTTCTGAAGAGCTGTTATTCACTGGGGAGGCAGGTGGCAATTCCCTCTGCATCCCCAGCCCCCTGTGCTTGGGCTGAGGCTGTCTCCTTACATGGACTTGGAATCAGTGTCTCTCTTGCTGATGAGCACCTCCAAAAGTCTTAGTTTTGCTTTTATGTGCTTGTATTCATTGTATTCTTCGGCCATAGGAGTGCGGTCTTCCTTTTGGACATTCCTAATGGAAAAAAAGGGAAAGGGGCTAAGTGTCATTTGCTGTCTCCCCCAGATGATGCTGTTCATCAGGTGAATTATCCCTATGTAGAAACTTGGTAGTTTATCAATCCGTAGAATCGGCATTGCCAAGTGCCACTTGGCATCAAGGCTGGAGCTGGGTTAGACAAGCAGAGAAAGGCAGCTTCCCTCAGTACCTTGTGATGGAGTTTTTATAGCTAATCTGGCATCTTGTAGAATGATATGAAGGACTAAGAAATGTAGAAATTTTCTCTCTGCTGCTGGTATGTATGGATTCACATGACGAGTCTCCATCCACTGAAATCCTTTATTTTTACTTAATGCTTTCTTTCTCACTTTTATATATTCAGCTAAGGAACCATTAAATTCCTAATTAGCAATTGGTATACCTATAATTTACAGGTTTGAAAATATAGTTAACACTCCTTGTTATTATAAAATTAGTCATGGAATTTAGCAATCAGATCATATATTACTAATAAGCCTTTACAGTTTACTAATTTTACGTGCATACTTTTTATATGCACAAGTATTAAGATCTTATTACTGGTCAAGCATTGTTCTAAGTGCTGTTTCCACGATCTAATATAACCCTCAGAGGAACCTGAAGACACAGTGTTATGGTTCATATCGCAACCACTGTGCAGGGCAGTCCTGCTTCTCACGTCAGTGTGAAAGGCACGTGTCAAATATTCAGTAGGCGTCCTTCTTATTAAAGAGCAAACATGGGAGAGGGGATAGCATGGGCTTATTTACTTAATTTTGTTCAATGAACTAAAAATAAACTGGTTCTATTCGTGCCCTGCCTGGTTAGGAAAGGATTCTAGATGGCTTCTCAGGCGAGGGCAGTGCAGGAACAGGGCATCTGACACCCAGCCTGCTCCCACCCCTCGAGGGGCTCTGCTCTTCTCAGATAGGAAATAATGGAACCAGATTTAATGATATCCAAAGTCCCTCAGAGTCCTACACTTACGTGATGAATATTAATTCCCATTAATTATACCTTCTTAAAACTTATGAAGGTATATAATTACATATATGCTCCTCATGCACAGGATATGTGGGCATAAAGTGATTATGATTATATGGAAAAGAAGATAAATAGACAAACTACAAATATGCTTAGAAAGAAAATTGGGATGAAACACATCAAAACTCTAATATTGGCTCATCTATATTTTCTAAATACCAACAATGCATGGAGAAAGAAAAGCAAATATTTAGGTATAAAAATTCTCAAATCTTGGGAAAGTCATTATAGGACAGATACAAATCAGAGAGCCTAAAAATAAATTGAAATAAACAGTAATTGAAATAAACTGGAATAACACATTTTAAATGCTGAAGCTAGATATTACGGTGTTTTTATTTCCCAATACTTTTGAGAAGTATGAAAGAGGACTTGAAGAGGACCTAGACTTATGCTGTTTAAATTATTTGTATTAAAATAAAGTCAATTTAGAGCAGTAAAAATTGACTGATATAAAAGATGAAAATCTATTCACTGTTCTCTCCTGGCCACATGTTGTGGCTTGAACAGGGCATTCTGGGCAGACACCTGCAGACAGGTGTCTGCCGAGCATCATGTGACCTGAAGCTGAAAATATTCTGAGTTGAAGCTCGCTGTGTTAAAGGACACCCACCCATTAGGTGGACTTACTGCTTCTTGTATATTTTTCAAAGTTGATGACTATCACCTTTGCTTTTAAAATGAGCTTAAACATCAGCAAGATTCTGAGTCCTCTTTTCCTACTTTCTCCTTCAAGCTTATTATACAGACAAAATAACAACAACAAAAACTAGTGCCGTCAACTGGAAACAGCTTCAAGGTGCTTCTTTTAGATGAGAACTGATGTTAGCGGAATGTGCAGAGCCTCGAATACTGCCCCAGGCGCCCTCCTTTCTGAAGGGCTACACAAGCCTCACCACCTCTCAGTAAACCCCTAAGGGGGTCCTGGGCGCAAAACCTGGGAGTCGGCACAGGGAGGGGGCACAGAGCTTCCCCCTCTGGAGGCACTGCACAGAGTTGACAGCCAATGAAGAGGCACGTGTGTGCGGGGCAGGAGGGGTGGGGTGGGGCAGGGAAGGAAAACGCAGGCACTACCTTCCATTTTGTCTGAAAAAATTGTCTTCAAAATCACGCAGTTTCTTTCGAATCCTTTTTTTTTCTTCTCTCATTTCCTGAAGATGTTCCAATAGTTCTGGTCTAAAAAAGTCAGAAAATTTCAAGGAAATTGAGTTAAATAGGAATTGTTATAAACGTAGTGGATGTGCAATTCCACAGGGGCTGTGGAGAAAAAGGGAAGTGTGTCAGTGCAAAGCTGCTGAGGGAGCCGAGTGTCCGCAGGAATGGGTGTTTTCTATCCCCTGGAAGACAGGCTGACTACAGGCATGGCTCTGGGGCTCTTGCAAAGCTCCTGCTGCTTATGGGTTCTCAGGGCTTGTGAAATCCCATGGAGCTTCATCACATTCTATTTTGAAATACAGAGATGACATCTGTACTCAGAGCATGTTAAATGATGAGCTGTGGAGTACAGAAGCACACAATGCCATGACAGACACCTTCTGATTATTTAAGCAAGACTCCAAATGTTCACTTGAATAACACGGGATGAAGCATGTAATAGTGAGCCAAAAGTTAAAAAAAATTCAGTTTTATTCACATAGATGTACCCCAGGTTAGCCCAGTTAAGACACCTGTGTTTTGTCAACCAATTTATTTAAATACAAAAGGCTATAATAATATTTAAGAAAGTTTCATCTACCAAAACATTTCAGCCCCCACCAAAACCACTTACATTGAGGCAGCATGGAGATTTGAAAGCTCGGTGTCTTGGCTGCATTTCAATGGTATTTTATCATCCACTGGGGAAATAAACCCATCAGTATCATCTTCAAATTGGTCCAGAAAGCAACGTGCACTGAAATCAGTTTTCAAAGTGACTGTGAAGTCTGGCTTTGGGTTGCTATCTTCTTCGGAACCCTCCTCTTCTTCCTGGAAATACACAGTAAACCAATAAAAACCTGGTTACTGTCTCTGGCATTCTTTCATCACAAGTATCTGACAATCATTTAATTATCCAGACACTACATAGTTTTTTGTCTACAATCAGTAACACATATATACATTATGGATGTATTACTGATTAGCTGTAAGTATGCAGTAAATAACACAAACACTAAACACAGCCACTCAATGGGGAAAAAAACTATAAAACTATAAAACTATAAAAAATTTAGTGGATAGCACAATTCACAGTTGTCAAGGCTGAGGGTAGGAAGGGATACCATCATAATTTATACCCTAAATCAAATCAAGCAAAAGAATCTTAACAGTCTGAGCTCTGTGATAATACATAACAAAATCTATCACCAGTGATCAGTGCTCTAAGGACTGGTTCTACTACTGTGTACCGCACAAAATATTTTTTATTAAGCTATGATCATTTTCAGAAATTAAACCTTACAGAGTTGCAATTGTAAAATATTCTGTGGCTGCTTGATGCACAAAATTTAAGGAAATTTTAAGAAAAGCAAGACATTTATCTTCTCATGACTGGAATTATTAAACTCCTAAGTTTTTTCAAGGAACTTCTGAGGGCCATGGCTGTATTTTCCAGCCTTCCAGATTCTAAGAAAAGTATGATATTGTCTGTCTTGATGATGCAATCAGAAAAACAATGAAGAATGAAGTCAACTTGGAATTTCTTAGTGCCAATTTGTAGCTAGGTAAGTCTAACGAAGAATATCAGAATCTGAGAGATTTTTAAAGAAGTAATTTACTGCCAAAACATCTAATCAGATCAGAAGAGAATATCCTAATATCTTGAAAAATTTAAAAACTGGGAGTACAGCTACATGAACAGGAAGTACGGCATCAATTGTTCTGTTTAGAGCAAGTGGCTTCTGGGCCGATGCGGCAGCTGACTCTCAGAGGGCAGCAGAGTTACCACTGGTAGGCGGAGGGCGCAGGTACACACTGCCTGCAGCGGACTTTCTTTTCTTTTTTTTTGAAGTATAGTTAATACACAGTGTTGGATTTTCTTACCATCAAGTTTATGTTTATTATGGTGCCTCTGCAGAGAAATAATGTGAATAAACAAACGGGCAAAAAACACAAAAAAGGACTATTATGTAATTACAATAAAAGTACTATTACAAAGGCATGTAGGTAAAACTGGCAAAAATGAGATGGCTTGCCAGATTCCCTCTGCTCTGATTGCAGATCTTCAGTCTCTGCTTGAAAGTAAATTCTTTATCATTAACTTTTTGAAATTTTAATTATGAAAAACATTAAAAAATTCACAGAATATAAGTGACTTAAATGAATGTCACACTAAGAGTTTTAAGTAAAATTTAAATAAAATACATTTTTATTCATACTATGAAATAAAATTAATAATTATTTTAAGTTTAAATACTTTACAATTAGTTATCAGTTTCTCTTTTTTTGTAAGAGGAAGTAACAATACCACTTTTGTGTAGTTTTTATAAGAATTAATTGAGATAAAAATGTATGTCGAGTACCTGCCAGTGTAAGACCCGGCACACAGGCACTGCAGATCAACCTTCTGCTCCCTGCCCCCATCCCCGGAGGAGGAAGACCAGGTGCAGCCCCCCTAACCATCACTACCATGGAGGCAGGGATTTGGGCCTGTTCACTGCCATCCCCAGAGCTCAGCCAATGCCTGCACGTGGTAGGTGCTCAATAAATGTCTATTAAATAGTCTAGTAAATCAGTTTTAAAAGACAAATACAAATTACTAGGTAGAGAGTTATTAAAGCCCAAGACTGGTAGGAAGTGAAGCCAGGTGTCTAGGCCTTATTAATTATACCCCAAGGTCCTGAGAGAATTAAAAAATGTGAGAATGTGTCTTACACATAGTGAGAACTCAGTGTTTTTTAAGATGAAGCTAAACAAAATGATTCTCAGTAATCTGTGGAAAAAACAGAAAAAAGAGAAAGAGCAAAATAGATGTTCAGATTATAAGAACATCAGGTTGTTGTGGATTTTGGGTAGATTCTACAATGAATCAATACATAGATAGGGCATGAACAATTGAAAAAGAATCAGTGATCTGCCCTGACTAGCACTGGTTCCTTAAAACAGTTCATGAAAACTAACCATTTTTCCTTTTTTGTTGGGATTGGCATATTATCCTGGATCTCAATAAAGAGTGAGGTGAGCTGACCCAGGAAGGGAAAGATGATTGTGAAAACGTATACAGAGTGATGATACAAGGTGTGAGGGCTCTGCAGGGAAGCCCACAGCAGGCTCTTTGCATGACCCTGCCATACTCAGTATTTATTCATCACTTGGATAGAGACACAAAAGGCATATTTATGAAATGTGTAGATCATACAAAGTGGGTAGGAATATATGGTATGTTAGAATACAAAATCTAGATTTAATCTTTCATAAGGCTAGAAGTATGAAAAGTAATTGGAAAAATTCAAGTTTCGATAGTTAGAAAAAAAAGCTGGCCCCAGAGATGATAAGCAACCCATGGAAAAGGAAGCTGGGGATGGCACAAATCCACAGTGAGACAGGGCCATGAGCAGGGGTTCTTGGCTTGGGGCTGATTTTGCTGCTAAGGGACCTTTGGCAATGCCGGCAGACATTTCTGGCTATCACAGCTGGGGAGGAGGTGGTGGCAGTGCACACTAGCAATGAGAGAGGGAGGGCCAGCACCCGTGACAAAGTTATCAGCCCCAAATGATAACTGAGGTTGGGACACCCTAGCCCTAGAAACTCTGTAAGGAACTCATAAGCCATTGGCAGTCACCTGGCCACAGCCTTGCAAGACGGAAGGGTCTCTGTCACCAGATCAAGGTTGGGACTAGTGGTCAGTCTGCTATCTTACTGGTTAAATCTCATCTAGAATAGGGTTCAGTTCTGGATGTCAGTTTTTAAGAGGGATATACATAAGCTGGTGTGTGTGTGTATAGAGCAGAACCACTAGGCTGCTGGAAGGTCTGAAAGCTGTGTCACCTGAAGAATAGCAAGAACTTGGAGAAGAACATTTTTCCAGGGTGTGGGTGGGAGCAGACAGGGCAGGTAACTGTAAATATATGAAGTGCTCTCAAGGATGAAGCAGATGCTTACTCCATGTTGTTCCAGAGGGCAAAATGAAGCCTACTAAGTAGAAAGTACTATGTTAATGATAAGTATAATTTTAAACTATTTTCATTAATTTTGATAGTTCATAGTTATTAAACTTATGCATTTTAAAATTATATATTATACTACTATATTGTGTTTTATATTTTTAAAAATTATTATAAAACTAATAATACAACATAACACAAGTTTTTAGCTATTTTTGATGCTTGGCCCATGTAATGAGTGTCCTTATTCTCCCCATTGCAATAAACTTCTCAAGCTTGAGGATGGAATCACTTCTAAAGGGACAGTGTTGTTATTCTGTTAGAGAATTTTAAGAGAAAACTCATATGTTGGATAGGATGACTGACTAGATGATCTCTAGGATTTTGGGGTTGGAAGACCTAGCGATTCAGAACTTGAGCCTGGCTCTATTTCATAAGTCATAAAAACCAGGGATGGTTTTTTTTAAAAAGCACCGAGACATAATTTTCTTAACTTCACATACACCAAATTCTAAATTGTATCAGAATTGCTAAGAATTAGTATAATCCAAATATGTGCTGATACGCTTGGCCAATTGGAACAAAATGAGCTAAGAGACCAGAGTAATGTAATCATTGTAAAATTACCTGAAATTCTGACCATCATGTGGCCACTAGAAGAGCCATGGCCAATTATACTTGTGAAAAAAATAAACCCAACTAAGGATTAGATTTGGAAGAATGTCCTCTTTTAAAATGAACATCATTAGTACACCTTCCATCTGTTTAATGAGGCAATTGTTAAGTGTCACATTTTGGATGTGTTAAAGAACACATTTTTATCTAGTCACTGTTCTATCATATCACATGCTTCTATGAGAAATATGCTAATTTTCATATACACAATTGCCCAGATTTCATCGATTACAGTGATTTAATTCTTAGGTGAAATAACCAGCTAGATAAAATTTGTCTTCTTTCATCAAGTCTTACTGCAAGAAAATAGCTCTAATTTTTTAAGATACAATATAGCATATTTGCCTAAATTTTATGATTAGGACATTTTCATAAAACAAGTTCTATTTAAAATAACCTGAACAGTGAGCACAATTCACTGCCTACTACCTTAAAACTGGGTGTATGAAGCATCTGAGCACCCAAAGAAGTAATAAGAGGCACAGAGTAAATGAAAGAGGACACCTGGTAGCCTCTGCTACCTTCCCTCAGTTATAATGATGAGAAACAGGCAAGAAAATGGAGTTCTCAACTGGTGTTCCTCCATGGTGGGGAGGCCCCCATAATTTGAAATGACCGTCCCTAACAATAGTAAATAAATGACCAGCCCAGCCTTGGAACTGTCAAAGAAATAGGACAAGTGAAATTACTAAAACCCATTTCTGCTTTGCATGTTACTTTCCCTTCCAAGTTACGCAACTGCTGACAAACACTGATTTTTAAAAAAAATGACTGACTTTGCCTTTTCATTTCTGAGTAAGGCAGCCAGTTTGTTTGGTGCTCTAGGAACAAAAACATGGAAGAAGCTGATCCTCATCCAGGCCAATTAGGTCCCTACAGAGACACACAGATCTGCGGGCACAGATTATGCCTCCCATTCTAGCAAGAGGAGCCACTGAGGATGAGGATTATCTATATAAAATCCATACTACTCCTGGGGAAAAAATCAGAGTGCATGTCCTAGTGACTGCCGGTCATAGCACTACATTCACAGATCAAGACCTGAGTTTGAAATCAGAACTGAGGCCTCAGGGTGCAGGGGAAATGCATGAGGAAGGACAAGGGAGTGAACCGCACCAGCAAATGTGTAAGACAGCCAAGATACTGTCCACAAAATGGCACTTTTTTCATGTGCCGGATATACTGCTTTTCTTAATTTGGTTTTTCTATAAGCTCAGCAAATGAGATTTCCTTAAAAAGTTACCCAATGAGCTAATGTAGCAAAATTTTGGAGTACAGAAAATCCATGGCCCACAAAGGGAAAAAACACTAACAAAATCAAACCACTGTGAAAACAAAACAAAAATGCCTGGAAGCAAAATAAAAACAACAACAAAAAAATGGGGTGGGGGATGAAATGAAACTAAGGAAATCAGTCCATCCATAACATCAACAAAGCAGGGTTTCTCACAGTTGGTTATGCACAGCTACTGATTTTAGGGCATGCTCCAGGAAGCCATCACCAAGGCCCACAGGCAGCCCCTCCCCATCCCCAGCAGAAAGGGGGCAGCAGGGAAGGGAGGCGCACTTAGCACGTAGTTAGCGGCTGGGTCTTCACCTTTATCTCCTTGAAGAAGGAAGCAGTTTCACCCTCGATAATTGGCTGCAGCAAAGGGCTTCTCCGCTTGCTGGAGGGGGAACCCTGCGACAGGCGGGAACAGTGGTTACACGGTGAACCCCTTTCCCCTTCCTGCCTGCTCTCTGCCTCACCAGCATTTATTACCACATTCAACTATAAAGTCCAGGCCCGTTTTGCCACAAATTCCCAGGAAAACCAGAAACTGAACAAAGTTCTTTTGCAAGTTGCTGCTTCACTTCAGAGCCTACACACACAGTCCAAGGAGGCCACATGAGAGCAGTAACAGTGCACGAGAATGTTGACCACATGCAGGAAAAAGCCAGTGGAAACATCTGCCTCACCTCCCGCTTTCCTGCCAGCAAGAACTCTTTGCTGCAGAAAGCTTGAACTGTACTGATGGCAGCTCATCAAGTGACCCAGCCGCTGCCTGAGCTCCCGGTTGTACATTCACCCTATTTAAGGACACTGAGGGCTCCTCAAGGAGAATGCATATGACTCTGTAGATATAATCCTTTTATTGGTTATTTTACTATTATTCTGCAGGAAATTTCTAGAAAAGTAGCTTTTTCAAAACACAACTACCTGAGGTCTCTGGACCTTCCCTCATTTCTACGAACAAGAACACTTCAAAGAAATACGAAGACCATATTTAGGCCCCAAAATAAAGAAGGAGATTTAAAGTAGGAATAGAAGAGCAGCAGCTAGCATGAATTGCATTTCAACTGCAACACAAAAGCAAGGCTGTGACCGCTTATTAAAAAAGCCTAGAAGCCAGGAGAGGAGCCCCAGATCCCTGGAGGGGAGAGCCTGGAACAGAGGCAAGCATTTCCCCAGAGACACACAGGGCACGGACACTCCCCTGGTAAGCTGGGGGTGGGAAGGCCAAGTGAGCCGTAGGGGAGGAGAGCAAACTGGCTCCTGGCAGGTTGTGGGCATGTTACGGCTGCCTACTCCTGACAAATCCAAATTCAGGGGCCAAAAGTGGCTAAGTCCAAGGATGGTGGCCACTGAAAACAACTTCACAATCTTCAGCCTCCTTCCTTTTTCTTCCACCTTATGTTTCTCTCTTGAAGACCTCTCCTGAGATGGCTCCCATGGCAGTTATTCCTCTTGGATGGGGAGAGACTATTAACAGAAGGGCCCTTGGGACAGGGGCACCCTTTGGAGTGGAGGGGCCTGAGAGGGCAGAGCCCAGTCCCTCTGCTGCTCTGTCTCTGAGGAAATGGTGGGGAAGTCAGCCCAGCACTTGTCAGATGGATGCATATGGCCAAAGCATGTCTCCCAAAAGAAAAAAAACATTATCAGCTTCCGATTTTCTCATTTTTGGCAAACGTAGCCTTAGAAGTCATTGATAATTCTTTAATCCTCAAGTTTATGGGGCATCAATATTAATGGCATGTTCAGCTGTTAGGGAGTATTCTTTATGAGAAGACTGGTTAGGACCCTATTAGTATAGCCAGGGCCACTGACCCAGATAATCGATGACAGAAAGGCACTGTACTCACGAGGATGGGGATGGTGCTGGCTCGGGACAGGATCTGCTTGACTAGCCGGTACCGGTCATACAGTGGCTTCATAACCTGGCGTTCATTCTTGGTTACCTAAAAAACAAGAACAAGAGAGCTGAGACGATTGCTCCTGGTGTTCAGGCGACCAGCTGTCCATGCATGCTCTGGGCCTGGACAAAATACAGATGATTCAACTGAAGACTCACCATTTCTACAAAATTTATTTAAACAGATATTATTCAGTCAATAAAGGTTTAAAATACCTACTTCAGCTGCAGATCATTGGAAGTCACTCCATCACTCCAGTACCGCTTTTCCTAAATCAAAACTATGACCGTCATCACTTCTGCGTTAAAACTCAAGAGTTCCCAGATGATTTATTATTTTTTAGGTCCACGGGAAGAAGAAAACAGGTATTTTTATTATAATACCTACTATGCAGTTCTGTAATCAATCTCTTTACATGTCTCTTTCCCCTGTGAAACTGTCTGGTTTTTAAGGACAAGATTTTGGCAAACAGTAGGTATTTGAGGAACAACAGATACAATACAAGGGCTGATAGAATATAATACAGGGGCTGAGTCATCTCTGTTTCCTTAAAATCTGGCAGAGCCCTCAAAAATTTTGAAGGCCCAACTCTATAGTCAGTGCGAAAGAATGAAGCCCGGCTCCCTGGCACAGTGGTGAGGCCCTTTGCCATCTGCTGCTGCCCTTCCTCTCCATCATATCTCAAGCTCCAGAGACAAACCGGATCGTCTCATTCCTCCTGTTTAGTTCCCTCTGCTCCCTGGTTTGGCAAATTCCGGGTCAAAAGCCACCTCCTCTGTGTAGCCTTCTTCCAACAGCCCCCATTCCTGGTGACCTGCTCATTCTCTCCTTTGTGTCACTGTCTGCAGCCTGTGTGTACCTTGTAATCTCACATATGCCTTGTTATAGATTGAACATTTGTGTTCCCCAAACTTTGTATGTTGAGTTCCTTATGAAAGAGGCCCCAGAGAGCTCCCTTGCCCCTCTTCCCAGCCAGGACAGCTGTCTGTTAACCAGGAACTGGGTTCCTCACCAGACAGCAAAGCTGCTGGCACCTTCGTCTTGGACTTTGCGGCCTCCAGAGCTGTGAAAAATAAATTTCTGTTGTTTATAAAGCACCCAGTCTATGGTACTTGTTACAGCAGCCCAAACGGATGACACATGTTTACACTCTGTAATAGTCCCTTGAGAGCAGCAGTGTATGTTTTTACATCTCTGACATAATGGAAATATCCCATAAATATCTGCAAAATGAGTGAATAAATATTTCAAACATAAATAGATATGCCAAATTAATAGATATGCATATATCTTCCTTTTGTACTGAAATGACAGTGGGATGAAGTACTTTTGTTTCAAGTTTGCTGTTTATCTTCTGCATTTTATTTCTATTGCACACATAAGACAAGAGTTACAGAGGTAAGGTAGGGCAAATAACATTAGCTTCGACCATTTCTTATGGCCTTTTTGGGCCTTCAACTTTGAAGCCAACTCTGGATTATGCATGAATGGGTTATTCTTTGTAGCCTTTTGTTCTTGCCTTTTTCAAAGTGATCTGCGATACATGCACACTGGCTAAATGTCACAGGATACTGCCATTATGCAAAAACATCCTGTGGATTTATTTTCCATCAGCAGCAATGATTTTTTTCTTTCAATCTCTCCCTATTACCACAATATAAAAGTCAAATGACATTTTCCTATGTCTACTTTTTACTTTATCAAAAGAATTTTTAAAATAGGTATTTTATAAAAGATGACTGTCAAAACTGGAATGGAACACAGAAATTATACAAAAGAAAACCACGAGTGTTACTACTCCATACCTAACACAATGGCTAATGTGAAAAGACAGTGTTAGGTGTCAGCAGGAATGCGGAACAACTAGGACTCCTTTCTAGCTGGTGGAGGTAGAACACTTTGGAAAACCATTCTGCAGTGTCTACGAAAGCTCCCCGTATGACTCAGCAATTCCATTCCTAAGTATATACCAAACAAATGCAGCCTTAAGTTCACCAAAAGACATACTGTGTAAGATTGTTCACAGTGGCACTATGCATAATAACCCCAAACGGGAACCATCCGTATGCCCAACACCAGAATGGGTCAGGTGTGACCCCCACACTGAACTCTCCTACAGCAACAAGAATGACTGAGTCTCATGCAACATTGTGGGTTCATCTCATGAAAATTAAACCAAGTACAAGCCAGATACCAAAGTCATACGTACTGTATGTACGACTCCACTTACATAAAGTTCAAAAATAAGCAAGCCAGATTTACTGTGTTAGAAGCCAAGATAATGTTTCTCCATGCCTGCAGTGGGAGAGCAGGGTATTGACTGGAAGGGGACATGAGGGGTGCTTCCAGAGGGCTGGCAATATGTTGTTTCTTGATCTGGATGCTGGTTACCTGGGTTTATTTTGTGAAATTCATCAAGACATACATTTGTAATTTGGGCTCTTTCCTCTATTTATGTTATTCTTCAACAAAAGTTTAATTAACAGCCACAAATAAGTGTGAGGAATGGAAATGGAGTGACTTGTGCAATCTCACACATAAAATGACAAAATTTAAGACTGGAACACACATGGAGTAATTTTTTAAATACAAGACATATTCATTAAATGTGCTGCAGGTGAGATGAAGCACATCCTTATTATCTACACATGGCAGTTGGTGAAATATTATTGTGCAAGATAAATAATAGATGGTTTAGTGACCAAAAGATACACTAAAAATAAGAAGAGTAATAAGGAGTCATCATTTCCCTATTACTAATTGTTTGGCAGAAACATCTTCAGGTTGCAGAAGGAGGCTTTAGATTTTAGGAGACAGCTAGTAAAATCAGTCAGATCCAGCAAATTTGATGGAAATTGATTCCCTTTCTAATTCTTTGTTCAAAAACCAAATTTTCTAGCTGCAGCAGATGAAGATCACTGCTTAATTATTAGACTTATGACATTGATATTTATATTCTCTATGAATTGCTCATGTTTTAAATTAATGACCCTCATTAATTTAGGAACTAATCCCCTATGGGTTATCTGATAAGATGCAAGTTTTGACTCTGGAAAGTTTCCACACATCATGGTTCCACCAAATGTAACAGTGGCATTGATAGAAGTATCTCAACACTCAAATTATCAAAGATTTTTAAAGTCTGAGGTGTGGAAAGAATTAATACTACTTGATCATACTGGAATTATTTTCATGATATATATTTGAGGCCAAAGCCTTTGCCCATCATAAAGCCAGGTTACATGTCATTATCAGGATTTATGAGTATAGCCAAAACCTAATCAATAATTACATAAACAAAGTGGGGCCTGTCAAAAAAGGGCCAGCTGATACTAAATGAGAAAATTTTACCATGGGAAACCTGTTTGGAAGTTGCCATCTCATTCTGGAGTCATTGGCTGCTCAGGGACTCTGCTACTACAGGAACAGGCCTTTGAATGAGCCAGTCAAGTTCTTTGAGCACAGCTTCCTGATTGGTAAACTGCAGAATTTAGTCTTCATAGAAAATCTGCATGATGTGAAACGTCTTGCAAATGATTTTAGGTCAAGCATGTAGCAGACTGTCTTTCCGAAATATCTTTACTCCTCTTGCTTCACACCTTTATTAGTTTTTGCTTAAGTGGAAGCTCTTAATGGCTTTTCAGTGTGTGGAAATAGGGTTATTACTAAGATGCATTTTTGCACAAAATCAAGACAATATAAATATCTAGATAAAGATCTGATGGGCAAAGGCAGTATCTTCCACTCTGTCTTCGCTTTTGATTAAAAGAAATCTCTACATACTGACATCTTCCTGTCCAGTTTGGTTGCTCTATTAAGTCTCAGATAATATTTCAAGGTACAGAGGGAACTCCTGCCAATAATTATCCACATTTAAGTTAGAGGCAAGTGCTGGACAGAAATCCCAAAGGCCTGATTTAGACAACTTCATTTGCCTGCCTTTATCTTTTGTGATGGTTTTGTCTTAGCCTCAAATAAAACCTCTACAGAAACCTCGGTTTGGCCGCTGTGACCTGGATTGTTCAACAAAGGTGAAGGATAAAATGATTGACATTTTTAGTTTGAAGATAAAGATAAAATTAGAAACATGGAATATTAGAGCTATAAAAGCCTTATTTTTTAATATAAATTTAAGCACTGGAGAGGGTAACGATTTGCTCAAGGCAACGGATCTGGGTTATGAATCAGGTTTACTGATGTCTAGTCCAGTTTTCTTTCCACTCACGAATAAGCAACACAGGAAGGGAAGCAGGATTGTAACACAGTGACCGAAAAACATACTAAAAATGTCACCATGTGGCATCTCCCTGTAATAGGTCTGAAAAAGAACAGTTCTGCGAGCTGCCACTTATTGTACTTCTCTCTGTGACATGGTCTTCTGATGAAATCCTTTCATGTTGAAAAGCATACACTTTAATAATAACTATAGGGACTTATGTGCCAGTGTGTAATGAGTATGTTTTTATTTCTAATACATGTGCCTGTCTGTCTGTAGAGTTGTAAAGCAAACAGCCTTGGTAAAAAAATGTACTGAAGTGGCAGATAACTGTTTTGGCTTGCAATTTAATAGCTGGTGTTCTTTAAATCAAAATCTATAGACTCAGCAAAAACCCATAAGCTCTGAGTTCCTGCTTTTCTCAAAAACCAGGTTTGGAATGATAGTTCAGCTTTGGAAATACATGTCTTTTCTTTTAAGAAGAGTGTTGCCCAAATATTATTTACAGTCCAGGGTCCATGGCAACACCACAGATCTAGTAAGAATTAAAAGTTTACTTTCTGATTTTCAAACTGGCCAGATATCAAATGAACTCTGCTTTTTCTGAGGAGGTCAGAGCATCATGTTCCTGTGAGAGGCAGAGAGTCAGGGCTGGGACAAGGAATAAATGATATTGGAGCTTCCTAGAGCATTTGTTCCCTGCCCTAAGAGGTGCCAGAGCCTGGATCCAAAAAGGTACTCTTCCTTCATGAACGAACGATGGAAGAAAGGGGAACAGTAAGGCAAAAACTAATGTTTCATATTCCTAATGATAAGAATACTAGAAAACGTGCATTCTTTCTCCTGATCCAATCAGTTAATAAGAAGCAGGCCTCAGAGAGCAGAACATGTAACTGTAAAAGAAGGGAAAACTATCATTTACTGTGCAAACCACCCCCCTTTGTCCCCCGAAAAGCCATTCTGCCTCGCTTCCTCACTGCCAGGCAGCCTACAGGCACACATGTGCGTGTGCCTCTAATGGCACGTAGTCCCCATGACAATCTGACAGACATCTGCGGAGCAGACACCAGAAGCCTCTGAGAGCTCACCTAGGCTGCCCAGTCCCAGAGTCCCTTGCGGGGCAGGGACTGAGTGTCTGCTGATCTGAGCGCCGCCCGCGGCCGCAGTCCAGGCAGAGTGAGGGAACCTGTGCCTGGCTGAGAGCTACGAACATCCGGCTCACAACGCCGGGACCAGCCATGAGATGAAGGCTACAACACAGCCGGGAGACCTCAGGGGCCTCGAGCGAGGATGTCTTTCAAGGATTCTATCGATGTCTAACACGAATCCATAAAATGAAAAGAATAAACATTGAAGGGGAAAACCATACCGGTCCCACCTCCTTCACTGAGGCTTGCCTGGTGGCCATGAGAGACCCACGCTTGAACAGCTCTGCACCTGCAGTGGAGAAGGGGTTACTGTCTCTTAGCAGGAGTTAGTTCTCCTCTACAAGTTCTGAATACACCAGTGGAAAAGGACAAAGTTTCACAATATATTTGAGCTTCAGTTCATTTATGTTTGGTTCAATGCCTTTAAAAAATCCAAAACAAAACTTGGCTTGAAACATGACCATTATCCCAAAGCGCCAGTATTTTTCCACTCAGGGACAGGCCAGCAAAATCAATCATCATAAGTTCCAGCTTTTTAAAAATTTTATTTAAACCTGATAAATTCTGGGCCAAAATACCATGGAGGATGCATTCTACAGGTAGTTTACTGGGCACATGCCATATGTCAGGTCTTGTACTAGATGATGAGGATCAGGTTCTTCATTAGGTGAACAAAACCCAGAATTCCTGCCCTCACAGACTGCAGAGTTTAGTGCTTTATTCTGGAAGCTTCTTTGTTTAAAAGAGCATATTTTATATGAAAGGCTACCTTTGTTATATAGTTATGGCTAAGACTGGAAACCAGAACTATGCATTTTGGCTACATAAAAATCTTTCTGTGAACATTAGCTTCACGCTTCTTTGTACCTGCTCTTAAGAACTTTTTTCACTGTGTTCTTGGCAATCTGCTTAACAGAAGGTTACCAAGAGTAACTGACAAGGATATCTGATTACAAGTTCCTTAAGGAATAGAGCAGAAGTCTATGGTGTTAGAGTCTCCCCCAGGACTAACAATAAACATTCAATAAATGCTCTTGCTGAATCATAAGTCACCTCAAAGCCTTCCTGCTTTTATGGAAAGGCGAAGCCACAATCTGGATTCCTCATGCTTTTTGGTTTGGGATAGTGGCTAGAATTTCTCAACAGATAAACAGTAGATGCAACTACATGGCAGAGGGTTGAATTTGAGGGCAGATCATATTGGTTTAACACCTTCATTTTCTGGATGAAAGTGCCTAGAGCCAGTGATAGCTGGGGGCAGCCCCAGGGACAGGGAAGTCTCCCTACTCCGGGGCTCTGCTCCCTACACCCTTTCTACCACTTTCCCCTTGAAGCAGGATACCAGTGACTACATTCTAATTGCAAACTAGTTTTACTTTGGAATTCAAATTCCCCATATAGTAGATAGACTTCAGAAAGCTTAGTTCTGGTGAAAATAGAATCTAACATCAGGGAAACTCATTTGCAAAATACTGAACATAGATCCACTTCTAAAGCCAGATAATTTACCCCAGTCTGAAAACTCGGTACATTTACATACCGGCCGTCCATGAATGCTTTCATAATATAACAGAGCTTTCTGCAGAGCCACTTTCTCACTGGCAATCTGGTCTTTGGTCATGTCCTATATAAACACAAGGGGAGAGAAAGGAAGAAGAGGGAAACATTTGTGAACATTCCAACTTCTTTACACAAATTTCCTTAAGTAACACTAAAAAGAATCCTCATACAACAGCTTATCCTAGGATTAACCATTCCTGAGCTCTTTTCAGAAATACTGATAGCCCAGTGGAAATTATGAACTACTTGTACCTCCCATGCAGTAGTAAAGGCATGTTGAATCCTGAGGGAAGCAAGACTGTGGGGCACATGGGCTTAGCTTAAGGGGCCCAGTGACGACTACAGTTACAGGCTGCAACAGTCCCAAAGGTTTGTGGATAATCTTCCCACCTCAGACCTCCCACCAAACCAACTATTAGCCTGAGTGAGTTCATTCTGCAACCTGTACAACAGAGTTTTCTGCTTGCAGCTGGTAGTCAGAAGCCAAAGTACCTACAGTTTCAACCCTCTGAAGTCATTTCATCTGCTTCCCTAGACATCTAAGAGTGTCTTAAATGAGGGTGTGGGAGGTTTGCAAGGGGTCAACCCATCTCTCTTCCCACCGGGATCCATGCGGCATGCCCTGTGTTTCTACCACATTTCCTGGAATGGTTTAGGATGAGCAGTTGGCCTGGGGCCTTCACTGAATCACCACACCTTAATGTCCTCAGGCCGGCTGCTTTCTGCCCGCTTCTCCTGGAGCTTCCTCTGGATGGACTCTAGTGTGGCTTCAACGCTGGGCTTTAGCGCTTTATCTGCCAGCTCTTGCTTCTTCTCATCTTCTTTCTCAAGTTGGGAGCCAAAACTCTTGGGAAGTGTGTTGCTTCGCTGCCGCATTCTGGGGGCTAGGTCCTCTTCGGATATCTTTAGTTTTGACTCTAGTTGAAAAATTTGGGGGGTGCAGATATATGAGAATTGATGTCTGCTGAAACCGAATTGTTTTTCTGTGGTGTCAGTAATGGCTTAGCCTTGTCTTTTTCAGAAGGTATTTAATTAAAATATTAGTTGGAATCCCTGGGTTATTATGTACAGCTGAGAAAATGATAACGCCTTCCTGGATTATCTGGAATGTTGCCTTAACCCCAATTCTTGAGAAAGCTTTGGCTCTGTAATGTCCATGCTTCAGCCGCACCAACCCCTTTGCTTTCTCACAAAGCAGCAGATGTCTTCCTATCCTATTCCCATAGTATTTACAGGCATTTACTCATCTAGCAGCTGACTGCGGGCCAACTTTTCTGTATATTACACTCACCTCATTTTGGGATTATTTTCATTTTATCTTTTATTTAGTTGTTAAGAGACTCTATCTCCTATAAGAAAGCAAGCTCTTTGAGGGTCAGGGACCAAATTCTTTTATATTCATCTCTGTGTCTATATGTCTTCTCCTAAAGCCACAGCAAATGAAGACTTGGATTAAACAGCTACTTCCTACATGTTGATTGGAACCCTTATCCTTATGTTAGTGGTTTAAGGAAATAAAGAAATGCTGCAGAATTTGCATCATAGCTGATCTGGGTTGCCCTGTGATTGAGACCATGGGAAGACATGGAGAAGGTATCCCTTGAACGCTGATAGTACTGGGAAGACGCTTTGAGGAATTAGTCTTTTCTGGGGTATTTTAGCAGTGGCACTCATCCTGAGGTGTTATGGATTCTGTACCTGGTTTGTTTTATAGAAACCATGCCATAGGACTAGAACTTTCCCTACCTTTCAGTTGTTTCCGGAATTTGGCGAGGTCATTTGTCCATTTCAGAACCTCTGGATTGGCTGCTTTGTCACTGTGTGAAGGCTGAGAGAAGGAAATCTAGTGTAAATGTTTTGGAATTGGGGTAGGAAAAAGAAGAACTTGATGACTGGATTATTTTAAACAGGAAGGAACAGTTGAGTCCCACTGCAATGAGAAATTAGCTGCCATCAATCAGAGCAAACTTTACAGGTGTAATTCTATTATCCTTCTTTATGTCTAGTCATTTTTGATGCTTTCTAAGAATTCCTTGGAGGCAAAATGCTGAAATTTTACCATCATGGACTTCTGTTAGGTCCATGGCCCCTTCTCCATTATTTGTAGGGTTCAGTCTGTCAGGGTAACAGAATAGAAGGCAGAAGGCTATATGTTTTCCATGGGAACCACTACAAAAAATGCCTTTTTGCCACTCTTGTAGGAAATACTAAAAATAGAGCTGAGAGTAGAATGAGGTCAGTACTAACAAAATTTTAGAAGATTATCTTTAATTAAGTTTTAGCCAAACAAAAGACTTCATTTAATGATTTTTCTCATTCCTGCTTACCAATAAATTTACAAAATATAGACTAAAGCATTCCATTTATTTGTAAGCATACACTTGTGCAAGGAATATGCTGATACATGATGTTTGGGGTTGTCAGTTTTTACTGCCTCTTTGTTTTGAGATCCCCTAGGAATTTCCCTTAGCCTTTTATCACTTCTCTGAGTTGCTGAGACTCTGGCTTGTCAGGGGAGGGAGGGCACCCAGGGAGGAGGCACTTACTCTGTATTTCCTCTCTTCTTCAAACCTGTCTTCGAACTTTCGGATCTTCTTTTTAAGGCTCTGAATCCTCCGTGTGAGTTGGGCAGGAGTCAGATCCTCCTGCTCGCCATCATAGGACCCCAGAGAGGAGCTCCGCCGCCTGTGTGGGGCACAGCTCGGGTCAGCACCCCCAGGAGCGGCAGCTGCCTGCTGGGAGGGGCTCTGGGGACTGTGCGAGAGGGTCCTAACCAGCTGCTCTTCTCGAATAAAAGGCAGCTGACTGCTAATTCATTTCATGACCTTTCACTCTGTATGTCCCCCTATTACATAGGTCTTTCTCTAGCTCACGTGTACAATTAGGACTGAAATTTGTGCCGCTGACCTCCAAGTTAAATTTGAGCTGTGGGAAGGAGCTGATATGTGATGCTGTAGCTGGCCCACAGTTCACATGAGAAAGCACAGCAGAGCCTCTTACTAGGATAGAGATTCCCAATATGCTCCTCCACAGGCTTACAATGTAGGAAACCCTTCATAGCCATTAGCACATTCTTATCCTTTCTGATGTTACAGGGATGGTGCATCTGCTTATCAACAACACAAAGAAACATACCTCATGAAAGAATGGGAATCTGGGGGAGAAGGAGGCACTTCTGTGTCATCCAGGTATTGCCGACTCTGCCCATAAGCATAGAACCGAGGAGAGAGCATGGGGTCACTGCCCTCATCCAGGAGCTGGTGAATCAGGCGCCCTGCCTGCGGCGAGAGGTGCGCTTCATTAGAGTCCCCATTCTCCTGCTGCCACGAAGAGAAAGCAGGGATGGGCTCTGCAAGATAATGAGATAAGAGGTCAAAAACTGTTCTTTAAAGCACCCTTGTTCCCCAAGTGTTCTGAGTGCTTTAGGGGCACTAAATTTAGGAGGCACTGAATGGCTTCTCATCTGAGATTGAATCACCAATCGATCAGACAGCCTTCTATCTCCATCCTCACTTGTTTTCAAAAGAGAGTTTACTAGGCTGTCCAGAGAAACAGCTCTGAGGGAAGACAGTCACTAGTGTACACTCCCAGCTTCCCCTGCAGACCCCTGAGGAGATCCCTTCCACATGAGGGCATCATGGAGAGGAAGATCAAGTGCAGCAGGGAGGGAGATATTGGGCATCTTGGCTACCCATCCTTCATTGAAGCAACTGAGGAAGCAAGCTTAGGAATCCCATTAATCTTGTGAGGGCCCATTTCCTTGGGAGCTTGCATCTTCTGTTTAGGCCACCTAGCTGTTTTGAGTGCTTCTGCTAGTGTGTTGGCATTAGCATGGTTACGATTCAGGCTTTGCACTTGAAACTTCAGAAGCTGCTCAAGACTGCAGTTAAAGTAGGATGCTTACAAGAATTGGTCAAAAACAAAAAGAAAAAAGAATGCCTTACAAAGGATGAATCTGTACAATCTTTTATTTAGTTGTTAAGAGACTCTATCTCCTATAAGAAAGCAAGCTCTTTGAGGGTCAGGGACCAAATTCTTTTATATTCATCTCTGTGTCTATATGTCTTCTCCTAAAGCCACAGCAAATGAAGACTTGGATTAAACAGCTACTTCCTACATGTTGATTGAAACCCTTATCCTTATGTTAGTGGTTTAAGGAAATAAAGAAATGCTGCAGAATTTGCATCATAGCTGATCTGGGTTGCCCTGTGATTGAGACCATGGGAAGACATGGAGAAGGTATCCCTTGAACGCTGATAGTACTGGGAAGACGCTTTGAGGAATTAGTCTTTTCTGGGGTATTTTAGCAGTGGCACTCATCCTGAGGTGTTATGGATTCTGTACCTGGTTTGTTTTATAGAAACCATGCCATAGGACTAGAACTTTCCCTACCTTTCAGTTGTTTCCGGAATTTGGCGAGGTCATTTGTCCATTTCAGAACCTCTGGATTGGCTGCTTTGTCACTGTGTGAAGGCTGAGAGAAGGAAATCTAGTGTAAATGTTTTGGAATTGGGGTAGGAAAAAGAAGAACTTGATGACTGGATTATTTTAAACAGGAAGGAACAGTTGAGTCCCACTGCAATGAGAAATTAGCTGCCATCAATCAGAGCAAACTTTACAGGTGTAATTCTATTATCCTTCTTTATGTCTAGTCATTTTTGATGCTTTCTAAGAATTCCTTGGAGGCAAAATGCTGAAATTTTACCATCATGGACTTCTGTTAGGTCCATGGCCCCTTCTCCATTATTTGTAGGGTTCAGTCTGTCAGGGTAACAGAATAGAAGGCAGAAGGCTATATGTTTTCCATGGGAACCACTACAAAAAATGCCTTTTTGCCACTCTTGTAGGAAATACTAAAAATAGAGCTGAGAGTAGAATGAGGTCAGTACTAACAAAATTTTAGAAGATTATCTTTAATTAAGTTTTAGCCAAACAAAAGACTTCATTTAATGATTTTTCTCATTCCTGCTTACCAATAAATTTACAAAATATAGACTAAAGCATTCCATTTATTTGTAAGCATACACTTGTGCAAGGAATATGCTGATACATGATGTTTGGGGTTGTCAGTTTTTACTGCCTCTTTGTTTTGAGATCCCCTAGGAATTTCCCTTAGCCTTTTATCACTTCTCTGAGTTGCTGAGACTCTGGCTTGTCAGGGGAGGGAGGGCACCCAGGGAGGAGGCACTTACTCTGTATTTCCTCTCTTCTTCAAACCTGTCTTCGAACTTTCGGATCTTCTTTTTAAGGCTCTGAATCCTCCGTGTGAGTTGGGCAGGAGTCAGATCCTCCTGCTCGCCATCATAGGACCCCAGAGAGGAGCTCCGCCGCCTGTGTGGGGCACAGCTCGGGTCAGCACCCCCAGGAGCGGCAGCTGCCTGCTGGGAGGGGCTCTGGGGACTGTGCGAGAGGGTCCTAACCAGCTGCTCTTCTCGAATAAAAGGCAGCTGACTGCTAATTCATTTCATGACCTTTAACTCTGTATGTCCCCCTATTACATAGGTCTTTCTCTAGCTCACGTGTACAATTAGGACTGAAATTTGTGCCGCTGACCTCCAAGTTAAATTTGAGCTGTGGGAAGGAGCTGATATGTGATGCTGTAGCTGGCCCACAGTTCACATGAGAAAGCACAGCAGAGCCTCTTACTAGGATAGAGATTCCCAATATGCTCCTCCACAGGCTTACAATGTAGGAAACCCTTCATAGCCATTAGCACATTCTTATCCTTTCTGATGTTACAGGGATGGTGCATCTGCTTATCAACAACACAAAGAAACATACCTCATGAAAGAATGGGAATCTGGGGGAGAAGGAGGCACTTCTGTGTCATCCAGGTATTGCCGACTCTGCCCATAAGCATAGAACCGAGGAGAGAGCATGGGGTCACTGCCCTCATCCAGGAGCTGGTGAATCAGGCGCCCTGCCTGCGGCGAGAGGTGCGCTTCATTAGAGTCCCCATTCTCCTGCTGCCACGAAGAGAAAGCAGGGATGGGCTCTGCAAGATAATGAGATAAGAGGTCAAAAACTGTTCTTTAAAGCACCCTTGTTCCCCAAGTGTTCTGAGTGCTTTAGGGGCACTAAATTTAGGAGGCACTGAATGGCTTCTCATCTGAGATTGAATCACCAATCGATCAGACAGCCTTCTATCTCCATCCTCACTTGTTTTCAAAAGAGAGTTTACTAGGCTGTCCAGAGAAACAGCTCTGAGGGAAGACAGTCACTAGTGTACACTCCCAGCTTCCCCTGCAGACCCCTGAGGAGATCCCTTCCACATGAGGGCATCATGGAGAGGAAGATCAAGTGCAGCAGGGAGGGAGATATTGGGCATCTTGGCTACCCATCCTTCATTGAAGCAACTGAGGAAGCAAGCTTAGGAATCCCATTAATCTTGTGAGGGCCCATTTCCTCGGGAGCTTGCATCTTCTGTTTAGGCCACCTAGCTGTTTTGAGTGCTTCTGCTAGTGTGTTGGCATTAGCATGGTTACGATTCAGGCTTTGCACTTGAAACTTCAGAAGCTGCTCAAGACTGCAGTTAAAGTAGGATGCTTACAAGAATTGGTCAAAAACAAAAAGAAAAAAGAATGCCTTACAAAGGATGAATCTGTACAAATTATTTGAGATAATCTTTAAGAATAAAATATACTTTCATCCTGACTTGTCATTTTGGGAAAGAATAGGATGACATTTATTTCAATTTTCTTCAAGACCCACCTCAATATATTATTTTCCTTATTAAAGAAAATCCTATGCAATAGGTTTAAAAGATAGGTCTCTGATGATAGAGGGTATTTCATTTGTAATAGTTTCTGCATTAAAAGTTATGCTTTAAATACAGATTACTGTGATTTACACAAGGCCAAAATTTCGCCATGATCTTAAATTCTGGGATTCCTAGAGTTTGAATCATGTAACAACTGCTCCTTCAGCTATCAAAGTACTTATAAAACCTACAAGGTTATCTTAATCTAGTACTCAGTATTTTATTTAAAAAATGATATTAGAATCATAGAACACAGAGCTGGTTGAGACTCCATACATTTTCTCATCTAGTCATTTCTCCACCCTGGCTGCACATTAGTGCCATACAGGGAGATATTAAACAAATCCTAATGTACAGGCCCTCACACCACTCAATTAAACACAGTGTTTAGGTGAGGGCCCAGATATGCAGCGCATGCGCGCACGCACACACACACACACACGCGGGCTTTTAAAAGCTTCCCAAGTGATCCTAACTGCAGTCAGGTTTGAGAACCACTGATTCAACCCAACAGATGACAGATAAAGAAACTGAAACCCAAAGAAGTTAAGAGCAAATACCTAATCAGTGACCAGAGTTGGGACTAGACACGAAACCTCTTGACTTCAGCACAGGAGCTCCAGTAATAAGGATGACTGACAGTTTTGAAGGCCCCACAGTATAGGAGGAGAGATAAGCACATTTAAAGAAATTAACCTCTTGTGGAATGAGATTCATAGGTTTTCAAAATTGAAAGAGAACCAAGTTATCTGGGAACACAGATGATAATTATATATTTTCAAAAAAATGAAAGCAGTGTTAAAGATAGTTTCTTGTCCACTGAGAGTCTCAAAACGTGGGAGAGAACATAATGGTAGCTACACTTGGCTAAGGCTGAAGAACAAGAGTTGTTTTACCATTTGTATTAATGCTCTTGGCTGGCTCCTCCTACGTGGCAGGGCTCAGATAAGAGCAGCTCCACACTGCTGACATAAAAGTAAAATATGGATTGAGAGAGCGAGTGGAAAGTAATCCCTACAATAATAAGAAAACTGTAGTGTTAAGTTGCAAAAAATGGAACTATTAAACTAACCAGATTGCAGCTTCTGTTTCATGATATTTCATACGATGGGAGTAATTTTATGTAAAACTATTATCAATGGAGCCAGCACAGGGAAAGGGTTAAGATGGCTCAAAGAGTAAAGCAGCAGGTGAAAAGCTCACCACGGAGTGGCACTGGGCAAAACAAGCAGAGTGCCATCATGGGGTTTACTGGGGACAGAGGGCAAAGACAAAACAAGTCTGATGTTGATATTGGCATAGGTGCGCTGGCTACTTTGGCATTTTTACTCATCAAAACTTAGTTTGGAAGGGTGTTATCTTAGGTCTTAAAGCCCTTTACTTTGTCTGAACATAGCACAATTTTTACAACTAATCTTTAAGTTTTCAACTATGTGGTCTCTGTGTACAAAGCCATTTTGCAAAAAGACTGCGTGTCTGTGACCATTAACCAAATGTGACTAGAATGTATATTGTGCTCCTGAGTTAACTATAAAACACTGATCAAAGCAATCTAAGTGTCCATCAGTAGATGAATGGATAAAGAAGAGTGCTACATATACACAATGGAATACTATTCAGCCATAAGAAGAAAACAAATCCTACCATTTACAACAACATGGATGGAGCTAGAGGGTATTATGCTCAGTGAAATAAGCCAAGCGGAGAAAGACAAATACCAAATGATTTCACTCATCTGTGGAGTATAAGAACAAAGAAAAACTGAAGGAACAAAACAGCAGCAGAATCACAGAACCCAAGAATGGACTAACAGTTACCAAAGGGAAAGGGACTGGGGAGAATGGGAGGGTAGGGAGGGATAATGGCGGGGAAGAAAAAAGGGGGTATTACAATTAGCATGTATAATGTGTGTGGGGGTAATGGGGAGGGCTGTGCAACACAGAGAAGACAAGTAGTGATTCTACAACATCTTACTATGCTGATGGACAGTGACTGTAATGGGGTTTGTGAGGGGGACTTGTTGAAGGGGGGACCCTAGTAAACATAATGTTCTTCATATAATTGTAGATTAATGATAACAAAACAAAACAAAACAAAAAACACTGATCAGGGGTCTGAATTATGTTTGGTGGATGCTTTGTGGGTAATACAGGGCCATCTGACAGATCTTTCTGCAGTACAGAGGTATTTTGTAGCTCCCTTTTTTACCAATCACTACTGACAAGAAGACCCAATGTGTCATTTTCCTAGTGATGCCAGTGGTATATATGAAAACCCAGCTGAAGAAATTCTAGCTCATGGGTGATATTTTTGCTTAAATGATGCAGTTAGTGAGAATGACTTCACTTATTTAGAAAGGAAAACTGTAAAACCATGAATTTCAACTTTAACAAAATAAAAAGGTATGTTTTATCATTACTACACACATAGAACATAAGTGAAGTTTCTCACTTAAGCAACATGAAATTCTTGTATGAGTTCTCTCTTTTCCTCAAACAGCCTTACAACTTAAGGCTCCTATTCAAGAGTTATAAAATTACACATAATACTATTTGATATAACTACTTGTTGTTCTAGTTTGAAACAATCTAAAAATACAAAGCTATCTCATGTTTGACAGTTGACACTCCACTAGAAAAGCGAGTAAGAACAGGGTGGTACATGACAGCATGTGTGATTGCATTACATGTACAGAGAACCAGTCTTGAGGATGTATTTACTGACCTGTCCCAACTGCTAGTTTGGGAAATATATTTTAACAAGTAATTCTCGAGCAATGAGATAGACAAGGATATTGCAAGAAAATTATTCAAAGGGAAAAAGAAGAGATTTGAGGATTTAAATTGGATTTTTATCTTAAGGCACCACACAAAATAAGTGCATTTTCCTATCTAGACCAGAATTCCTTGGATACACTGATTTTGATTTTAGCCATGTGTCTTGTCACAAAGAACTCTGGATGCAAGTATGGCATGTTTCTCTATTAAAAATTAATCTACCCAGGTCAGCTCACATCACAGCGAGTCAGAAATAATAGAGATAAACCTGCAGGTTTGCTACCTAAGTAATAAAAAAGAATGGGTCCTGGGAGAGTTCCAATTCAGACACTTCAGTACACATGGAAATAAAGGGAATTCACTGCTGAAAGAGCGAACATAGCTCTGAGTAATGCTAATGTGGTTGCTGTGACATAGTCCTCTGCTTAGCTGGCTGGATCCATTTACATATACAAAACAAAACTGGCTACTGAAGTGATTTAAGAAGTCTGCACAGAATTAAGGGAACTGATGCTTTGCACATCTCATTTCCAACCCTCTGCCATTTAGAATTGTTACTGCTTGGCATGGCCTTATCCTGTCTTTTAAGGAGGTTCCTCAGTGGTGCTCGGAGGTACTTGCACATCCCAGATACAGAAAGATGTGAGTCCTGCTGGGGAGGGGCTTTACTGGGAGAAATCCTCTTATCAAATTTTCCTTAGTGTTCCAAAATTTAATCTGAGAACAATAGTAGTCCTATTAAATTGTTCAAATAGTCTTGCAAACTGTCTGAGTTAGAAGGAACCTTAGTAGTCAGTCAGTCTTATCCTATATCTGCTTTGCCCCTATTTGTAAATTTTATAGGCAGGCCCTCAATAGCTCCAGTTAAGTCATTAATAAATGTGTGGAACTGATAGGGCTGAGGACTTTACTAAAGAGAACTCCCCCATTTGTTCCAACTTTGATTCACATATCTTCACTCTGCCACACAGTTACTTAATCAATTACTAATTGGCTATGCTACCTGACTGTCTTCTACCCTTCCACACCTCTGACAAGGCTGTCACAAGTCCCTGTTAAGGCCCAGCAGAGGCCATGTCAAATGAACGATTTCCCTAATGCAGAGTCATTGAAGAAAGGAGGCTGGTGTGCTATGGTCAGTCCTTGGTGATCAGTGGAGGACCTAGTAATTATTGCCTCTTCTGTAAGAGCCATCCATGGTCCATAGGGAGAAGGACTGGGCTCTGGTTTCAAAGACAGTAAACTTAGGCTGGTCTTTCCTGGAACTATATGTGGAAACATTCACTGAGGATGGTAGTAAGATCAGTTAACACTCATATAGTGCCTATTATGGGCCCACACTGGGCTGAGCACTTTGCATATATTAGCTCATTTAATCCTTGCAACAAACTTAATAAGTAGATACTACTAACACTACTATTCAATATTAACTACTGTTACACCTAGTTAAAGATGGGAAAGTTGACACTGAAACAGACTCATTTACTAACTTGTCCACAAAGCTGGTTAAGTAGTAGAGTCAGGATTTGAACCCAGAGTGTGCCTGGCTCTTAACTATTATGATCCACTGCCTGCCAGGATATGTAACTGGTATTGCTTAGAAAGAGGCATCTGGGCGGAAGTTGGCAGACTTTGTTATCTTGAATCATCATTTTGCCTTTTTTGGCCTCAGCTTTCTTATCTGTATAATGGGGGTTCAACTGAAAGATCTTTAAGGTCCCTTGCTTCATTATATTCTTTTGGAGAATTTCTTTTCTGAAGTTATTTTTGATAAGCAGTAAGTGATACATGAAGTATTTTATGCCCTTCTAAAGATGTTCTTTTAAACTTAATTTTAGCAGGACTAATCTAATAGAGCAGCTGCATGTAGAAACTTGAGTACTTCCACAAATGATACCCCCAAACCAACATGAGTTGGTGGATTAGAAACACTCCTACTATGCAACTCTCAAGGGCTTTAAGTAACAAAGTAGAGCATCTTTGATTTGTGTATTCATTTAATTTTGAAGAGTGGAAACCCCTAATAATAATAATAATAATAATAATGATAATGTCATGTGAAATGATCAAGAAATGTGCCCTAATATAAAGCTACACAGAGAATAAAAAGATAAAGCATGTGATACTTTTCTGCCAACAAGTACGATCAGACACTGACCCTACAATGAGTCTGAGAGGTTTCTGTTCTATGTAGGCTATGGAATCTACTTACCAGTTCACTTCCTTTTTTGTTTCCCTGATACAATATGCCTCAGAGGCCAGAGAACATTATTCCCACGTGGGAGTCTACATTACAGAGGGCAGTACCAGCAAATTACTCACTTAGTATGTCTCATCTGCTCTTCTGTAAGTTGCACGAATGAGTGAATGTGAACTACGGTGGGGACGGGGAACAAACAAGCAGATTTCAAGTGGGGATTACACTATCCAGTAGCTTGGAGACTGGTGACAGAGCTGATAGATGGATATAGGCTCACACAGCTTTGGCAACTATTACTGTTGATGGGTCTCACATTCACAGTTCAAATTAGTGCAAAGTTTATTCCTTGCTGGGGAGCCACCATTTTGTTTGTGTCTTACTGAAGCTATTTTAAAAAGGTCGTATTTTAGTGAATGGCCTTATGGCTCTCAACTATTTTTTACATAAAAATTCATTTACTTTGTCTACTATACTTGTAGCTTCTTTACTGCTATAATGTAACTTGGAAAGTTTAAATAAATATATAATAAAAAATGGCCACTTAAAACAGCAGCCACGAGATCAAAGCAGCCTTGAAATGAACCCATGTAGATTTTTAAGATATGCAAGTTCAATGACAAATGCAGTAATTAGCAAAAAAAGTTAAAGCAAATCACTTAATAAATTATGTGGATTTGACAACGAGCCTCTCGAAACCTATTTTTTCCCCAATAAGCTTTATTTATAAATCTAGTTTCCCAATATAGAGTAAAATGTTGGCTCCTTCACATTATTATTTATTTGGAAGAACATTCTTTACATTCAGTAAAATGAAATAGTTATAAGGAAATTTTAAGTCAGCTTTCAGCCACTCTGAAGAGAATTTCATATTCACCTCTTCAGCATGCTGGAGGAGATTACAAACTTATGATGAACCAAGATAAAAATAATCAAACTGTCCATTTTGGGAGGAGGAGGAAGAATCTTACCTGCCTCTTTGCTAAATACATCATCAAGGTAGTGTGGCTAATCCGACTGCGGGCCCCGCATCCTAGTTTCATCTATGGGCTCATGTTAATGAACAGGGGTGCCCATGTTACTGAACCCCAAACCTAGCATTTGCCATGGCTACTGCTTTTTAAATGTGGGTAATGGTGGCTAATGTGGGATATTTTTTGGGGTAGGGGCATGTTGCTTTTAATGTATGAATTAAAAACACACCTGGTTATTTCAAAGTACACAAAACAGAAGACCAAAGACTACCCAGGAATATATTCACCTAAAATAGAAACAAAACAAAAAACCCTGCATTTTCCCCAGTGAATATATCAGGAGCAGGGAAAGTCTGACAAGACCTCAGAACCACGGCCTATTTATATGAAAAGAACTAGAACCTGTTTCTTAGATCGCAAAGAGTGAGAATCAGGATAAAAAGCAGTTTGTTTTTGCTTCGCTAAGCCCTGGGTGGGAGGAGCCTAATGGGGTCGCTATTTTTCACCTTGTGATCTTTTTAGATCAGCTTTTGGTCCTTCATCTGAGATCATTCCCATAATGAGTACTTTCTGGTTAAAAAAAAAGGGGGGGGCGTGGAGAAGCCAAGGCAATCCCGACACTTTGAGAAGGATTGATTTTTCACAGTGGTGGTTCTCTGCTAAATCACTGAGTTAAGTCATAGGCTGCTGCTCTGCAGTCAGAAGCAGCTTCTTCCTCTTTGCAGCCTTCTCGACGCACACCCCAAGCCACACAGGCAGACGGGTGCTTCTGGTGGGCACACACTGCTGGATGCAGGAGGCAGACACATGGCTAATGAAAAAATAGCAGCCTGATATTAATGATTGTGCCAATAAGCCTTCTGGAAATACGGTTTTGACATGATGATGCCTTCTTTCTTTTCACAAGTAAATTCCTCATGCTTTTGCCAAAAATCTCTAAAAACACTAATCCAGAACACTGTATTGCAGGCTTTTGATAAGAAGTGCTTGTGTTCAGTGTTCTCTGATGACAAATCCCTTACGTTTGCTAACCTGGACTTTAAAAAATTCTACCCATAAAAACAAACATAGAAGCAGAGCAAACCAAAACATCTTTCTTGAAAAATGGGAAGGAGATTTACTGAAGGAGGTAGATGGTTGGCATGTAGTAGTGGGAAAATCAGCTTTACTGAGACAAAATCCTAAATGCATACCTGCTCTACATTACGGTGCTGCTACTCCAAGGGAAAACACATGCCCCTGTCAGCACTCTGGGTGAGTGAAGAAGAAAAAGGACTGCAAGGTGACACCGTGATAAAGGGCAAGCATGTTTTCTTTCTTAGATTGCAATTTTATTTAATGGCAACATTTAATGTGACACATTCCTATGCCAGAGAAAGGATTTTTGGTCATTTAGAAATGCAGTGACTTCTGCATGCATCACTTTCACTCACCCACACATCCACGCGGTCGCATGGCTCCCATTAATGCTGATTTATATATGCTTTTACAATATTTAATCACCCAAACATCAGCCGATCCTACCTTCCCAGCTCTTCTCATCACACAACGCAGTCAGGTCCAGCTCAGGCACTTCAGAGGCAAAGCTCTCCTGCTGGTCCCCGGCATCTTGAGTCCTTTGCAGTTTGGTGTCAGGTATGCTGGGATGCTCCTGAATCTTCATCGTGGGGCTCTGGAATAACAGCACAATGTCTCCAAATAGCTACTGTTCACCAAAACCCAAAAATGCCTGCAGCAATTTCACTCCTTCTGGATGAAACCTCCCGAGCCACAGCTGCTCCTGCGCCCAGCACAGAAATCAAAATCATAGCCTGATGCCCCCTAGATACTAGCTGGCCACTTGCATGCAAAAAGCGACCGTCCATCTGCACTCCTTTAACTTTTCTTCTGTGAGAAGATGATTTCCACGGGCTGCTTTTCCTGAAAACTGCAGGCAGCTGCCAGTCTTGAGGATTACTGATTGGGGCAAGGAATGAGGGAAAGGAGTTTGTGCTTCCTTAAAGGAATATGGCTCTCCAGACTGTAAACAACAACAAAAGCCAGCTACTGTGGTTGCTAAGGCTGTCGAAGCAACATGGTGCCTTCTGCACACAGGCTTCTTCGCCCCTTAGGTAAACAGTCCAGCGAGGCCAGGAGCAGAGGCTGAGGACACAAGTGCTCTCCTGCTGGCCCTGCAGGCTTAGATCAGTTAAACGGGGGCAAGCTGCACGTTCCCAGATTTCCTGTGGTTGTTTTCTTCCCAAGGGTGGGGAGAGCAGACTATTTATGGAGGAGCTCTGGTCTTAAAGCATTGTTGCGCAAATTCAAACACCACCAGGGGTTGGCATCTCTTCTCAGCTAGCAGTAAGGAATACGGACTCTGGGAAGGAGCCAAAAATCTTACAGGGAACAAGGCTTATTTTTTTTCTTTTTAAAGTAAAAAGCTGAGAACTGGCACGTCAGCAAGTCAGCAATACATAATTTATATCTTACAGGTAACTGTCACTTGTTTTCCTACTATTCATTTACTCTGAATATTAAATACTCAGCCACACTTGTTTCACTCATTGGCAGCACCTGCACCAGGCTGGGATCTCTGGTGGATGGGAAAATACTCCCCTCAAGGTTGCTATTTTAGCTAACTGATTGTATTTTTAAAATATTGCATTGAAATTAAATCTTTTCTTGCCTTGCTCTGGTGGCAACTGGTAAACCCAACTATTGTCACTTTCTCCTCACTCATAAAATTATAAATACAAGTGTTTACTCACAAATACATTTTTCAAGTAGCATAAATATGTACTAAAGATTCTGAGAATAACTGGAAATTTATTTTGGCAAACATACTATCAAATGAAAAAACCAAATGACATCTGGAAATCATAAATGATTCCACTAATGTATGAGAGCACCCTTATGCTTAAAATAAAACACTACTAAGACTTTCAGCTACTTTTAACAGCTATTCAACCCACTTTGATATCACCATGGGAGTAGACAGGGCTTTTACTATTATAGTTCCATGAAATGATGCATGAGGACCTGTGTTTTCTTCACATCTGGGATAAAAGGAAGTATCATCAGTCAGGTTATGAGCTACTAAAGTCAGAGGGAAATGCCAAGTAAATCTGGGGCTTTTAGATACTTTCAAAATGCTCTTGTCTGTTGGTGAATAAAACCCCAGATTATGGATTAAAAAAATTATTTGTTCCTTTGAGCTAAATTCTCCATAGACTAGTAGGGTTCAGTGATCAAATCTCTGCTTGTGTGTGTGTGAATGTTCACAGCAAATGTTTTCTCAATAAAGATTTTTAACACCTGTTACACCTAGACACATAAAAATGGGAGGACAGGAGAGATGCGGTTCTGCATGCCAACACACACCTTCTCCCAAGGTATGTACTACCAGGCTATTGGTGCTGGGCTGCCATGGGGTGGCCATGCATATGCCTACAGGCAGACCTGGGCTTGAAGTGTGACTGATATTTACTAGCTTAGTGCTCTGCTGAGCTGCTCCAAATTCTGAGCCTCCATTTCCTAATCTTTAAAATGGCATTAATAATACCAATTTTGCAAACTTCCTTTGAAGATCTTAAAAAAGTATAAGAGTCTTCCAGCCTGGTGCCTGGAGCATAAGAAATGCAGATATGGAAGCTGTCATTCTTTTTATTATTATTAGGCACTGTAGGGAGATGAGTAAAATGTTGCCATATCACAAAATGCTGGAGATGGAGATGAGGCATATACAACCGCCAAGTCAAGGTGAACTGTGCTGTGACAAAAGGTGGAGCAGTTTTAGACGCATTATGAACAAGTATGGAGGAAAGAGTCACTGGTGTTCTTGTCATGAATCAGCAACAGCAGTTTTGATTAGGGGCAGCCAGCCTGAGTCAGATGGGCTGAGAAAGACCCTTCACGTGAAGGAAGGAGAAGGAGGAGCCTGAGCAAAGGCAGCTTGAGAGCGGGGAAAGCTTGGTCCCAGCAAGATCAGAGGTTCAGGAGGCGGGTGCTTAGCATGGAAAGGGGGCCTGGCAGATGATGCGGGTGTCAGATAAGCAGATGCTGGACTAAATTCAGATTTTTCCTGTAGTACGTAATGGAAACCCATCAAACGATTTTCAAAACAGAGTAATAACGGTGAAATGTGTATTTTCCCAGCTGATGCCTTGTGGGTGGAATGAATGTCGGTGCGAAGACCTACAGCCTAACAGCTGGGTTCTTTCTGCAGGCAGCCTGTGTCCCTCCCAACACCAGTCACTTGCACTGCTCTCCACAGTGTCTGAGTCTCCTTAGGGCATTCAAGAGCCCTGCAGCACTTGGCAGGGTGCATGTCAAATCCCGAAATTTCACACATACAAACTAATATAAGAATCCATACTTTGTATGACTGTTACATTTGAATTAGCAACCAATTTCAAAGAAAATTAAAATAAAAAACGTCCTTTGTTTTCTTTCTTCCAACTGTATGGATTTATTTATTCCCTCAACAACATGGGGCCATGTACCCACTCTGTGCTGGGCTCTGCAGGAGACACGCAAGACCCTCGCACTGAGAGCTGACATTTCACGGAACGGGCTCATGTGTGCTCAACGGAGTTAGGAACACAGTCAATCACATACTATATACATATAATAGGGCTATTTATTAGATGCCAGGTGCTAGGGATTCAAAGATAAAATTTAATATTTATTCAAGAAATACTTTTTGAGTACCTACCCTGTACTAGTTTTTTAGACACTGGGGAACTTCAGTGGACAAAATCAAGTCTCTGTCCTAATGAATCTTACTGAGGGGAAAGTTAATGAAAAAATACATTAGGGAGTGATACAGAATATGGAGAAAAATAAAGGAGGGTATGACTGATGATGGAGGTAGGGGCCAAGGTCGGCTTGAATGGTCAGGGAAGGCCCTTCTGATAAGGTGACATATAAAGCAGAGACATGAAGGAAATGAAGGAGTGTGCCATCTGTGGGAAAGCATTCCAGAAAGAAATAAAGCAAGTGCAAAGGCCCTGAGGCACAGTCATTTTGTATATGTTTGAGGAATAGCTAAGCTGAGGACAGTCAGGGACACCATAAATGGGTGTTTAGAATGTGCACCATGCCACATATAATGGAGTATCACTTATCCTATGGTAACTCATTTAGACCTATGCTAACTTACAAGAGCTTCTGAACTTTCTGGCTGATTTCCTACATAGCAGTGGAGAGATCCCTCCCACAAGACCCACACTAGCTCACACAGCCATGGACACATGTGGCACAACACTCACTTGTTAGCCCATCCAGTACCTGGCTTCTCCTGCTGTGCTGTTATCAGTTAGTGAGGTTGCTTTTCACTTGCCTGCTCTGCTTAGAGGACTGATTGTTTCCTAGTTTCTGTCCCTGCTGGTCTGTCTCTCAACCTGACATGGTCCCCTAGGCTGGGGTTGCAGAGTAGGCTGCTGGTGTGGGCTTCAGTTTATGTGCACATGGGAGCTAGAGATGCAGCTCAGTGGTGCTGCTCAGGCCCTGTGGCAATATACCAGCATAAGAACTACTCTTCTTTCAAATACTGGTTAGCCTCATCTGGATGAGGCACCTCTCCAGATTGTCCCACACTCTTTACTAATGCTTATACTATAGCATGGCACACATCTACTTGCCTACCTACTTCTCCTACTAGATCACTAATGTTAAAATGTCAAGGACATTCTCAAATACCAAAATATTTTTGGTTTCAACTTTTGTTGTTTACATGTCTTATATCTTCAGTTAAATCAGAGTTAATAATTTAATTTCAAAACTTTCAACTCAGAGATCCTTCCTCTGTGATGTCAGACACAAAATCCTTGTCAAAAAGGTTGCACCAGGGCTCTTTTGTGCTCTCCTGGCATGAGCCAGGAGCTCTATCCTCTCACTTTATCTCTAAATAAAAGCCTCTGCCTTGCTCTCCTAAAAAAAATAAAATAAAATATAACTGTCTTCAAGGTGTGACAACTTGAAATATATTATTAAAAAAAAAAGGTTGCACCAGATGGAAACACACTAAATGTTCATTTTCTGAAACAGACTGAGTATTTGGTTCTTAGGAGAGACAATATGGTATGGCAGATAGGGGATGGGTTTTAGAGTCAGACACCTGAGTTTAAACACCAGCTTACTAGCTGCAAGACCCTCAGTGACCTTTGACCTTTAGCTTCTTTTTTTGCTAACACAGGAACAAAACCTCATAAGTTGTGAAGATTAAGTGAAAAAACAGATATAAAAACAGCTAGCACATAGTGCATGAAATGCTATTGTCACTTATACACTACCTTCCTTTTCCCATTCATTCATCTGACAAGTATTTATGGAACACATACTATGTCCTAGGCACTGGAATGGTAGGAATTAACAAGATAAGGGATTTAGTGTGGAAGGAAGATATGGAACATGTAAGAGAGTGTCATGCATATTATGAAGGACAAAAGACAAGATGCTAAGGGAGCAAGTCTAAGAGCCTCTCAATGCCTGGGCCTCAGATGACATTCCACGTGCAGGTCACGGAGCCTGAACTACTAGCTTACTCATCAGAGCTTTGTCAGGATTTGTCGCCATCTGCCTGGGCCCTGCTTTTTCTGATCCCCAGACTGTATTGATCCTGCTCTTTCCCTGGCTTCAAATGGTTGGTGATTTCTGTTCCATCTGTTCTCCCTCCTGCACAGGCAATGGACAGGAGCCTACTAACAGACAGCCAGAGCCGGGAATGAGGATATCCAAGAGGGTTCTGCGCAATACACTTTGCACAGGAAGGAACCACACAGTGTTAAGAGAAGAACAACATAGAACCATGAACACTTATTGTTTAGCATGACAACAGAGGAAAATGGACACAACACATTTCCAAAATTCCTATGAAATGCACTATCAGTAGCCTTTCAAGACTGGATGGAACTGGAACTGAATCAAATAAAATGGAGCTTTAAAATGTTTCCGGTCCTCATATTAAAACCTATAGTGAAATCCTAAAGCCTCCATGAAATACAGTGAATTTGAAATAACAGTTATCCACTCCATAAATACTTGTTGATGGGAATATTCAGAATTTATCTCAAACCTATTCAGGACAATAAAAGTCTGCACTTAAGATCTTGAGATAATTACTGTTCTCAGTCTTGACTGGAAAGACTTGTCTTCTTTCTCTCTCTCTCTCTCTTGTGTTTTTCTTTTTTCCTTTGAAGCAGGATAAGAAAAAGGGAAATAGTCTTTTGTTTATTATGAATGTCTTGTTTGTTATTAAAGGTAAGCTTCTAAGCTCTCCTAAGCAGTAGGCTTAGAAAGTATACGGAATGTAAAATTATCTTGAAAGAATTTAACACTTCATTAACTTTAAACTTCTGACATAAAATTACCTCTTTCCGATAACATAATACCCTTTTCCTGTAGTTACTAATTCTTACATGTTTTGCTTTCTTGACGAGATTAAGTATAATGTTATAGTTCTAATATTCTCAATTTTATATGGAAGCATAAAATATTTTCACAACAGAAAACAACTTATCAGAAGGAATCAAATTAAAGAATAAGGTATTAACTCCATTGGAAAGAGAATTCTGAAAATCTGTATTATCCGTGATCCCTTTTAGAATCTAGGAATTGCTGGTTTTTAGAATGACCTTTCTTCTGGATACTTCCAGCTGTTAATTGGGCTTAAAAAGAAACAAAAGAACAAAGACTCTGGACTCCATATGTTCAGGGAACAGTGTGCTAGGCTTCTCTTTGTGTTCTCTCATTTCTTACAGCCCAAACATGATATTTTGTTAAAATACTAGCCTTTCCAAAACTTACTCCAAAAAATCAGACTTTAATTTTCGGCACTTTAAAGGGACTCTAACTTATTTTTTCATTGCCAGTGTGTCACTAAACAAATTTTAATACAAACCACATAAGAAATTCAGATGAAATATAAATGGATAGCTCTCAGTGACCATCTGAGATCTCAATGGACCCTTTTTAGACAAGATTAGCTGCATAATGAAAAGAAATTAAGACATGCAACAAAGGGATAAGCCCATGTTCACTCTTTCCATCACATGCATTCAAACAAAAACATATTTAAGGCTGCAAAATAATTATTTCAAAATTAAAGTCATGGCTGTGCCTGCATTTGCTTTTGAGCAGCAGACTCTAAGACAAATCTCTCGGCCTATCTGTCCCTCTAAGGAGCATCTCTCAGGTCGAAGGCTAATGTTCCTCATGCTAATGGAAATACTAGTCAAGAGAGAAAACCACCTTTCCCTAATAACAGTTATTTGCTGTGCTAATCTGCTATGAATCTGAGAGTTTATAAGGAAACATTTAATGGATGATATTAATAAGGACAATGTTTCTTAAGGGAATGAAATTAGAAATATTTTATTTTCATATCCATTCATGGTGGGCATGTGAGTTTTGGTATCTCAGTCTGATGCTATAGGAGACCTGAAGTAAAATACTTGTTAAACAGAATTCTAGGAGGGGTAACCAAAGCCTAGACTTATTTTTCATCTCTGAAATTTAGGAATTATTGTGGTATTACCAGAAAACCAGAGTAACTATTTGGATTGTATAATTTCTAGAAAGTGCTACATATATTAAAAAGAAATTATAACATACTATAAACAAGGGAAAGGGCTTTCAAAATAGAGAAGATCTTTTCATAGCCCTTCATTCATAATAATAAAATACATTTTCTCCAGTGAAAGGATCATATGCCTCCATGAGAAGGAACACTATCTCCAACTTGTATTTTTTTCTCCTTTGGTGCAACTGGGAAGGAAAGGTGACACTGAGAATGTAGTCTAGTTTTAACTCACCACCTAATTTTATCTCCTAGACGAAATGATGATGATGATGACAATGATTATTAATAATGAATGCTTAAGGAGCACCAGCAGTGGGCTGGGTGCTGACCGGTAACCCACAGGGGCGATACATGTAAGACCTGGCATGTGGAAGGATTTGAGGTTTTTTTCCATGACTCATCCCCTGCCATGGGAGCTGGCCACAGAAATACAAGGGCAAACTGAGTTCAGTATGGATTTAGTTTGGGTGATACTTGGCATTTATGAGTTAATGTTATGAAGTCCACCCACAAGGGCTGCTCTACACCTTTTATCTCGTAAAGGATAAAAGGCACGAAAGGAAAGAACTGAGAAGACCTCTTTTAGAAGCTGGCAAAGCAGTTTTCTTTAAAGTAATGTTCAATGGCATGATGAGTTGGTGCCTGCTGTGAGCAGAGGAAAAGAACAGAAAAGGGATGAAACCAGAAGAAAAATAAAACATTATCATGGGAAACTGTGCTCAGAAAAAAAGGACCTGGAGACAAGAAAAGAATATCAGCTTGCTGCCTGGGGTCCCAAGGAAGGAAGCTTGAACTAGCTGGAAACAAGAGATGAAAGAGGTGGCTCAGAAGCTACGCAGTCAGAAGGCGGGAGCCTTCCTTGCCCATCAGCTGGCTAGGGGAATGAAGTGTACATGATGACCGAGTAGAGGGAACATGGGGCGTCTACAGCACTTGAGGGGGTGGTGGTGGCCATTAATTTCCAACAATTATGCTACATTTCCACAAGTGTACAATTTTCTAAGGAGGCAGTCCACAGCTTTCAGATGGTTCATTTACTAGATTGTAAATCTCCCTGTGGGCAGGGATTGCAGCTATTATCAAATCCCAGCTTCTGGCACAGTACCTATAGAGAGTAAAACTCAATATATGCTATTGAGTAACTCCATCAGTGAATTAGGGCAGTGCCCAACAAAGATTAGGAATCACTAGGTTAGAGGGAGAATTCTATATATAATTAGCATCTCAAGAGTCAGAACTTAGGAAGAACAAATTGAAAAAAGCTTTGAATCTTGCAAAAAGAAAACCTGACAGAAAGATTGAAGATGGAAATGGGAACATTTTAAAGCAGATTACACACACGTACATGAATGAAAAATGAGGTTGAGCACACTGAATGGAAGCCAGAGTTGGGAGCAAGGGAAACCAAATATTGGGTCAGCCTGGGGATGTCCTCGAGGGAGAACAAGGAGGTTAGGAAGTAATTGAAACTTTAAGAGAAAGAAAACATACAGGAATTAGGTATTTTTTCTCCATGGTTTACTTAATTAATATGTGACACAAAACCCAGAAAACAAACTGGATTTAAAAACCTGAACTGATTTATGTGAATTTAAAAATTAATGAGATAATTTGTGATAGATCTACTACACTCTTTATTTATTTCAATCACTTAAAAATGCTAAAAATCATGGAAAAATCAAGAGAGAAATCTCCATGCACAAAATGAAAGAATGTAAAAGGCAAAAGAATGGAGCTCTGTGAGTTCTCAAGGAATTCTGATGTCCCAGTATATGCCTTCCTAACGAATGACAGTCCTGTCCCTTACTGACAGGTTAATAATAATCCCATGCACTCTCAAGAATGTATCAATAGTTCCACCACAGCCAATCTTGTTAGGCACTCACCTCAAAACGCTGGACATGTCGGCCGTCTTTCTCATTCTCTTTGCTACAAACACTGGCAACAACAAATATCATAAAATTTCAGTCTGTTTTATAACAATGCTTTTCATCCACTGAAATTATGATTTCATTTATTTTAAAAGTAGGCTGAGTAGTTATAAATCAAACTCTTATAAAATTCAAAAACACTACAAAAAATCAGTCAAAATAAAACTAGAAACACACACATGAATATGGTTATTTGCCTCTGACAGCAACATCAATGTTCTATTCTAAGCACTTTCCTTGCTATAAAATACTGTTGGTAGACACACTGTCCATGAATTCTATTCTTCTTGGTGCTTATGATGCACAAAGCAGTAAGTGAAAAAAGATGTGTTCTCACTATTGTAAACAATTTGAGAAGGACATGTTCACATTACCTTTCATCGGGCAGCAGTTCATCATTATCAGGCCCAGTCCTTGCCTGGGATGCTGTGGAATGGAGAATTTCCATATTCTGCAACAAAACAAATCACTGGTTGCCTGGTAGGAATTCTAAGGAATATTCAACAGCAGACCCTCCTTTCTTCAAAACTGAAATATCAGATAATGTGCAGATACAAATTCTAGTCCTCATACTTCTATCTTTGTCAAAACAAGTAAAATTATGATGGCTTATTACACATTGCTTGCATAAAATTGTATGCTGAACTTTAATGTCCCTCTAACAAAGATACTGGACAGTCACCACAGAAATGTCATTGTGCCCTGTAATGTCCTTGGTTAGGTATTGTCTGCATTTTATAGATAAACACAGCAAAACCTAAATTGTCAGAAGGTCAGGGTGATGGTAGAAGCAGAATTGAGGAATCTGACCTTGAATCTAATCAGAAACTAATATAACATTTACTACTTGTTTAACATCTTTTCTATATATATTGCCAGTATGATCTGGGGTACTATGTAGCCTATACCTAAGCTGTGAAAATATCCATTAAAAATGGAGTTAACTTTATATTTAATCTTTATATTTGCTAAGATGGAAAAAAAATAAACAGGAAAATTATTTTGAATAGCATGTATTTCAGGCTCACCAAGAGGGCTTAACACTTATCAGGAGACATATTTGTATCATTTTTGACTGTGTCTGTGAATATGGCCTATGGTTTCTAAACATAATGCAGGTGACTGAGCACCTAATAAGCAAACCATCCTCAGAGAGGAAAATTACAAATAAGCAAATAATAACACACTTACACTTAGTAAAATCAAAAATAGCTGCCTTAAAGGTTTAGACCTGAATTTCATTGAACTCAAAGATTCTTATCTGCATTAAAAGGACATTTAGCACAATCCACCTATTTCATGTTGTCAAAACAAAGAAAGAACAAATAACTGACACAATGTGTATTCATCTACATATTGATAACCTCCCTTTCTGAAAAACTCTTCACAGGTATATCTGGTTAAGGTTCACAATAATCCCATCATAAACATATATAAATATCTCCAAAAATAAACAGAATAGAAAACCAATTCTTGGCTTGGTAAATGGATGCATTACTCTCCATTTATCTTGGTTTGGCCAACTTGTCCGGAATTCTTAAAGTTTAAAAACTTAGGTCCCATCAAAGGATAAAAACAAAGGGGGACACAAAACATAATAGTTACAATAGTTATAATGGCTCTGGAGTCAGAATGCTTGGGTTGGAATCAACTGTGTGACCCTGCTTGACCCTCCGTTTCCTCCTCTGGAAAAACTTAACATAGGGTGTTCATGAGGATGGAACGAGGTGATACACATAAAGTGCTAGAGTAATACCTGGCACATTTAATGAATATTGGTTGTTGCTGTGAATGTTGTTATTATTTCTAAAACTATGGAATCATCAAGAAAAATATTTTATGACTGTATGTCCACAGCTAAGACGATGTCCCAGGAACCAGAAAGACACTGTCTGCCATTATACGACATCAATTTCCATGCTTAGATATTTGACACAGATAATCTCAGAATGGATCTACTTATGACAATATTTAATAACTTTTACTTTCTTATACCTCTAAAAGTCTGAGTTAGAAGAGGCCTCTCTAAAATAGTTTTCATTAAACTACAGTATAATTGCTCTTACTACCTGAGTATGACCTCCCTGATAGAGGGATATATCTATGACAAAGAATCTTTGTTCTCATTGGCAATCTTCAATAGATTATCAAAATCTTTAGTGTAGGATCTAGTGCAATAGTATTGTTCCCTAAAGCTCTGAAACATGAATTTCTAGAGAAAGTATGATTTTCTACCTTGAAATGATTTTAAAAGTGTCAGTGGATTACATTTGTAAATATATGCAAATGACTATTTCAGAAGAAATAAAAATCTCCATATTAAGGTTAAGAAACATTCAGAAAGCAAGACCGAAACAAAACCATAAGCACATGATGTAAATGTAAGGTTACCTCAGTTAGATGTTAGAAGATTGATTTTTTTTCCTAAACAGAAAGAATCAAGAAATAATCCAGAGGTTTGAGAATTACCGAAAAAAATAGTTATGTTATACAATACAAAGCTTTGCAAACATGAGTGTGAAATATGAAAAAATTCAGCTGATCTCCAGGGTTAAAACAAGTAAATAGTAATGTCTTCAGCTCCCTTCCCTATCCCACTTAAAAAAATGTTTGATCCCTATGCTTAAGAATGCTTCAAGATCTGAGTTTTTATAGATGTAACTGACAAAGGGCAACTTTTATTATTTTTCAATATTCCTCTCAAAGAGCTTTATCATTATTCCACTTCTCATGCTGTCCCCCACACATCTGAGACTGCTGAGTGCTCATGTCTCTTTGACTAAAGCCACATGAAAGCACAGCGGTCCTTTGCTAAGGCAGCTGAATTGCCCCACACCTTCTGGAAATAGGAGCATGTGAAAATGTGTTACAACTGGCAACATAAGGCAACTTTTTTCAGAATGAAAACTAACAAGGGTAATAAAGATGTATGAGGACAGTAACAAAAGAACTGATTTCCAATTCCAGCTCCATCTTTTGCCTAAGGTTTAGGAAGGGAAGATTAAGAAATACATCAGCCATTTCCTCACTTCACTGAAAGGGAAAATGGAGTGTACAGGTCAAAATAATGGCTAAAATGTAGACTGCTTCTACTGAATTGTTTTATGTTCCAAACACTTCTCTAGGTGTGGTAAAAGAGTAGCTCATTAAAGTTTTCATTTATTAACGGTTGAAGTAATAAAATTCTTATAAAAATGTCTCATTGCATTAACTTTTAGTCTTCTAAAGTTATTATCTTTTAAAGATAATAGGTAATTTTAAGAGATAGCAAAGAACAGATTATGACTTTAAGTATAATTTAATGAAATTGCTTGAGTTTTAATTGCTTTTTAAAGAATATCAGATAAAGCCCAGTTTATAATCCATAAAATTCTGCCTCATATAAGTCCTACTAGTAACTTTCAAAACACACAGATTTGCTGACATAATTAATTTAGACAATTTTTGGGTGTCAGAAGGAAGTGAATTTTAAGAAGCACCCTCCTTAATTACAAAAATAACCTCCTATCTAAAAAGAGCAAAAGCCTTTAAAAAAATTAGCTTTAGATTGTGGAATTTATCATCAATTCTCTCCTGGCCCCTTTCTATTTTGGCACTGAAACCTAGGCTCAAAACCTGTCTGATCACTGAAGCACTTGAAAACAATTGGATCAAAACCAAATTTGTCTTCTAAAACTGTAAAACACTGACAAAGTCTTTATAGAGGACATTTAAAAATGCCTTCTCTCAGTATATAAACAGCTCAGTGTGAAGGCTGCATGGAACACTGCTAGTCAAAACAGATTCATTATTCTAACCTTGAGCTCTAAGAAAAGGAGAATATTTGATATAGTCTCATTAGCAGGATTAATGGGGAATTTGAATTTTTTTTGTACCCTTTTGTACATTTATGTTTTACTGGTTAAAACTGTATAAATAAAGCCATATTCAAAAAGAATTACTCGTACCATAGGGACACCTATGGAAGACCTTGTAAGCTGTCCACTCAAATCCACTTTATTTTTCTTCCACAGTAACTAAGGAGCCACATGACCTGCAAAATGCCTTTCCCTGCCTCTCCTGCAGTGTGACAGGGCCGTGCCTGACTTCTCTCAGCAGGATTGGGAAGCACTGTGTGTGGCTCTCAGGCCTGGCCAATAAACTGCCCCACCAGGTATGTTTCTTGATGGAGGTGGAATCACCAGTATGCCCTGGCAGCTACTCACTGAACATGGCAGAAATGCAGTTGTCCTGGGTCCCTGAAAAGGTGCATGGAGTGAGCTCTCTACTCTTCTCCCCAGCCCGGAAGTCCTGCTTTAGAATGCCACAGGAGAAAGACCTTTTACTGTGTACAAGATACCATATTTTTGGTCTCTTTTATTATACAAGTTATCCTAACCAATATGGCAACAATTTATTCATTCGTTTTTCTTTTTACACATCTTACAAGGGTGCAGAACTGTACTGGGCCCTGGCACAGTGGTGACTGGTAGACCAGCAGACGCCTGTCCTTGCCATCACGGCTTCTGTGTTTCGGTCACTGCTCCACCTGCAGTTTGTTATGCTGTTTATATTACTTTGTTTCCATGCTAGGTTTTATTTCAATACTAATGTTAAATATTAATTGACAAAACATAAATTTCAAGGCCAACACATTTTCTCCTTATTGAATAGTAGGCAAAGGAAACGAATCCTAGATCTGTGTAAAAACCTGTTGAGTTTAAAGGGTTAGAAGAGTATCCACTTTTCTTAGATGAAAGACAGGCTGTGTGGTTAGAACAAGGCAAAGACCTTTGGCGTTATGTGAAGAAGGCACTAGGCGAAAATCAGACAAGTTTCTGATGAACTGGACTTTAGGTTAAAGTTAATTACAACCAACCCCCACCCCGGACTTGCCCACTAGGTACCGCCCTCTCTCCTGCATCATCATTCCCCCCTCACTACTGGCTTAACTTACAACAAACACTCTGTAATGGTGCTGCGCTTTAAAAAGCCTCTTTTACTCTTGCACTGCTGCCAGCTACTGCCTTTTTCGTCACCCTTATAGAGCAAAACTTGTTCAAAGATTTTCCATACTTACAGTATTCTTTTATTCCTATTCTCTCCTGCACCCATCTAACTAAGCTTTGCCTTCCTCCCCCTAACAAAACTGTGCCCATAAAGGCAGATGTGGGTTAGCTAGATGTTATATGTAAAATTATCACTCTCGCACTTTTCCAACATCTCTCTTCTGGTTTTCTCTTGCCCTAAATGTAATAAGGCTCTTGATCCCATGTTGTACCAGAAATTGCTGGCTGCTCCTTAAACTCTTTTGCTTATATCTTCTCATCTGTCTGCCTTCTAAGTATAGTATGTCCCAGGGCACAGTCCTTGGACCCCTTCCTTTTGCTCATTTCCTAGGTGTCAGCTCAAGCGTGTCTTGAGGCTTTAACTACTAATGGTGTGCCAAAGACGTCCAAACTTATTTCATCT